CAGCTCCGTGCCATGTGACAGTTTTCATACAAAATGATTTTTTTCGCCCCAGCCCCCCCCCCCCATTTAATCACTCAAAATGAATGTGAAGAGAAAGAAAATAATACTAATGAAGAACGATCACTCGACTATAAAAAAACATATATTCCGATAAATTAATGATGGTCTAATCTATTATGGCTATTAGCCATGTAATAATGCCAAAATGTCGCTCAATTGTACTCCGTTCATTTGCACCAAACAAAACATTTATCCGTGCGTTCGTTCGTTCATTCATTCAACTCACTCAGTTATCATCTCATTAATGAGAAGTCATCGCGAAATGTACGCTTTTGTCACACACACACACACACACATACACAAAATATTCCCGGTGCTCATCGGTTAGTCTAGTTGTCATTGTCACGGTTGCGGTTTAGAGACTGCAACAATCATGTGTCATAATATCATTGCGTCGGTTGGTTATTTGCTTGGTTGGTCGACTGCATGGGTGGGTTTTTTTTTTTGTATTCCTCTCTTTCGATCTCATTTCTAGTTTTTGTTTGTTTCATTATTAGAAAATTTTATGCGTTATTTTTCATTCACTTCGGGCATAAAGTTCTAAGTGTTTTTTCACATATTTTCTATGCGACACAAAAACAAATACTTTTGCTCTAGCTTTTGCTCGTTTGTTGTTGTTGTTGGTGCGTTTTTTCTGCTATTTGTTTTATATGCGCTGTTTTGGGAGTGTCAACTTCAGCGAATCGCACATTTATTCAATAATAATATTCTAGTTAATAAAATGAAAGGGAACAACAAAATGGAACGGACAGCAAGCAGCGAAAAATATCAAGATTGCCTATCTCCTTTTTTTATCTGTATGGTGCTTTCTCGTGTTGTATTTCTTTTTTCACTTTCCATTTCTTCTTCATTCGTTCATTTGGTATGTAATTTCTGTGTTGAATACTCCATTTTATTATTGGCGCTAGAGTTATTTTTTTTGTTTGTTATCATTCCATTTGCCAACTATTTTTCTATCTGTGCAGCCGCAAGAAAAGTTGACAAACTTTTAACACCCAAAAATTCCAAGCGACAGAGTACAAAAAAAACCTTCGCACTTTCATTTCTGAACCGACACGGCTAAGCGCGCTCGATTGCTCTTGGTCTCACGCGCCCAACATTTTTCATATGCGTCACATAAATTCAGTTTTACGAATGACGTTTCGGTTTTAGTGGCACATTTAAATAGACAAAACTGCCATAGATAGTGGATAGCAGGGAATAAAAAATGACAACGAAATGAAAAATTTGAATAAAATGCTTAATGATAAACATAAATAATCGCAGCAGCAAAACATTTCGTCCGCGTGTGTTTGAGCGTTTGCGCGTGAGCGCTCATATCTATATGAATGCGATAAAGATAGAAGGCGATAGACCAGAGATCGTAACCGAAAATGAAATGAAATTATTGCATTTTCCACGATTATCAAAGTATGTATGTTTTTTACGGTTTTGGTGCCAACGTTGTTGGCTTTATCTGCTTTGCTGATGTTTGTTTTGATATTGTTAGTCGGTCAATGCTAGAGAAGAGATGGCAACAAATCTATTATGATAATGCGTTGGATATCAATATAAATATATGGACACAAAATGAAGCGAAGCGAGTGAGCGCACACACACACACACGCATACTATGTGGACGAGACACTATTGTTTTGAATTCGCGGCAGTTGAGACGGGAACAAGGTGGTGGCAGTGGTGAGACAAATGCCAAACTCTATACGCAAAACAATTGTATTTATCAAATGCCAGTAGATTTTCCATTTTTGGTGTGCATTAAATTCAGTGGATTTAACACGCATGTTGCCTGTCGTTTATATACAATCTGTTTTTGCTTCCGTTCGTTTTAGTGATTTTGGGTGAAATGGTTTTCAAATGGTGCGTGTGTATGGCAAACGAAAAAAAAACAATCACCCAGCCAAATGATTGAAATGATGGCAATAATGGTTTGGGCCGCGATTCAATGTGATTGCAGATTGTTCCTCGCATTGATGATATTCACCCGTCTTCGCAAAATCAAGGAAAGTGCCAAAAAAGTATACATGCACATCAGAAATAAATTTCAAAACAAAAGCGCCCACATCACAACGACAGAGATGGACGACAAATATCCGATTTATCACACGAAATCAACAATCATTCGTTTTTATTATCGCGATTCTCTTTCTTGCGCTCATTTTCTTTGGGTATACATTTTTGTTGTTACTTTGTGTTGTCGCTTCTTTTATTTGTGATGTGGCACTTTATTACCGAACGGATATTTAAATACATATTATTATTTTGTGGGTGGGGGGGGGTTATTTTCACGGTTTCTTGACTCTTTCACATGCACACAAAATCTCACACCCTTTTCGCTCTGTTGGCTGGTTATGCTTGAATTAACCAGACTAGAACCATACCAAACAACAATGTTATGTATTTATTCAAATTCACCAATTCAAATGTCTTTCTTATTCGTTTTTTGCTTGAATTGTTATAAATGGCGCTTGCTTTTTTTTGTGTCGTGGAGCTTGGTATGGGGCAAAGTGACGCTTTTATCAAAGGCTGCTCCACGTCTTTCAGCTATATTTCGTTTTATGTGTACTGGCGCGCTCAGCTGCTCAGAGCATGTGAATGAGATTCGGAAATATTTGCGTGCATTTTCGGTTTTGTTGAAAACGTTAAATGTCAAATATTGTCGAAAGGAAAACGAAATGGTGTGAATATTGTGAAGGCGCATATATATCGTGTGCGAAGCAGAGTGTTACATTTCATTTCGTTATGTTGTGTGATTTTTGTTTTATTCATTTTTGTTCTTGTTCAGCAACATTTTTGATGTTCGCACTCATGCGTTCGCAGTGTCGATTCTATTTTGTAATGTGATTCATTTTAATGAATTTTATCATGGGGACAATTGTCAAAGAATTTGAATCACGTTTGTTTCTCACAAATATTCTAATGTAGAGAACATTTTATTTGGTTGGTTGAGATTGATTTGAAATCTGTATCCGAAAACATTTTTCTTGTGAAAATAACGAGCTCGAGTCATGAGCCAAAAACATCATTCATCCATCTCAATGTCTTGGGTCGACAACGTAACATACACACACACACACATACACACCTTGAAGAAAATCTCGTACTCAAAATACTCGCGGGAATGGAATGGAATTTCGTCCATGCAAAAATGTCGTCGTCAATGTGGTGCGACCATCAAACAAACTTCACTGATAAAACTTCCAACAAAAACATAAACATAATTTATCGCACAACAAACAGACATCCATCCATTTATATACGAATATAATTAATATGATAACTATCTTGATGAATTGATTAAAATTAGATGGATACATCGGAAGCGAAAGGAATTGAACGAACGAACCAAGGAGAAAGTGAAAGTGGAAGTGAACGGAGTAAAATGGTATAAACATACCATCATCATCATCATCAATCGGAGTGAATATTGTAGGCGGCAATAGTAAAATTTATGGTCTTTTAACGAAACATTGTCCATACGGCGAACGTTCTTCTTTTCATTTAGCGCTCGCTGAATTTCAAACGAAACTTTTTTTCCCCGTTGAAGTTTCGTCATGCCAATACACAATTTCTATTGCGAAAAAGACGCTTCCCTTGATCTATACTCCCGATGGGGTGATCCATTCTACATGAAATTTACTTTATTTATTCGTTTACAAGTTGAAGCGCGTTATCACGCTTTATCGTTGTTGATTTGCAGTTGAGCTCATCGGTCAATTGTATTGAATTTGGTACGGTGATTTGTATGCTTTTTGCATCGAAAACAAAGAGAGAAAAAAATTGAAACAAGCTGTAATTAATATTATTTTGAGACTGGGAATAATTTTTTCTCTATCTCTAAGTTTTTCATTTCTTTCGTTTTCTATCTCTATATCGTTTCGATTTGTTGTGCATTCGATGAAGAAAATCGAAGTGTGAGTTAGAAAGTGAGTGAACCAGAATGTGCGCCTAATTGTTTTTGTGTATCTAAGCTCGCCGGGTGTGTGTGTGTGGACACTGGACACATAAAGGCAAATAGAAAAACAAAATGGGAACGCTGGTTGATCAAAGCGGACCCAAGTGAGAAAAAAAAAATGTTGAACAAAAATCGAGTCGACAGACGATGACGACAAAAGACTCAGAACGAACGGTATATACACACATCATTGATTTATTTGAGATTTAGCGGTCAATTTGATAAATGGCGTCTATTCTATACTTTGGAATTTGTGTCTTCTTTCGTTGGTTTTGGATTGGGCGCTTGGATTTTTTTTTAATTCTATTGCTGCTACTGCTGTTGTTGTTATTGTTTCTGGATGCTTTTACTTCAACGCAAAATATTGATGAAGCGCACAATGTATTACGTGCGTACGTCTCTCTTTGTGCAGTTGTACAATATACACACAAGTGTAGTTATACATACTAGATAGATATATTGTTATAGAATGAATGTATTCTGTTGTTTCATTCGATGCGTATATCAGCAAATTTATCTCAATATCGTTTTTCATGCATGAAACGCTCCCAGAATAAATCCCTTTATTAGACTAATGGCCACCAGTGTGAATGGAATTTAATTGAAGTTTCACATGATCTATTGTCAACGATCTATATACGAGCTCATTCACTCATACGTATGTACAAAGCATATTTCGCAAATATTGACAACCACGACGTCGAATAATGAAGCAAACAACCATTGTACTATGTTAAGCTCTTTTGAGCGATTTGAGCAACAACTAAACCAATAACTAAATCAGGGCGATTTTCTCGCATCTCTCTCTCTCTCTCTTTCTCTGTATGTTTTTTTGCACAAATTGACATTTTTCCACACTTTTAACCATTATCATCAATTTTAATAAATATTTATTTACAGTTTTGCATTTACCACTTTTTTGCTCACCGTTTTCAAATTCAAACAAACTATATCGACATCTTCTTTCTTTGGCTCTTTTTATTTACAGGTTATTGCCAAAATTTAGATGAATTAATACCAACATCGCATCATGATTCACCGACAGTTGTGCCCAAGTTCGTGTCGAGGGGACATTTGTACAAAGCCATCGTTGGTGATACGATAGAATTGCCGTGCAAAGTTCAAAATTTAGGTAAAAAAATCATATTACAATATTTCCGCCGTTCATTTCATCAAATAGCAGAATAAATATAAGGGGCCAACACATAAAAAAAACACTGGATGTGTTTAGACGGCTGTGTATAGCTTGTTTAGTGCGTAGAATTCGTGGAAACTAGCGTTGCCGATCCGATTGAAATTAGATATCTCTCAAAATATTTCAAATTCAATGATTCACAATGAAAATAGAAACGGCAGCTCCAATTCCAATGCTCCAACGCCTCAACGGATAATATTTTGGAATGTGCCCAAACGAAATTATATTTTATTACCCAAGCACACTACAATTTCCAAAGCTATTTTCTATTTCACAATTATGTTTGATAAAGTATCTCTTCCTCTTACATTTCTACGTATCAATTTCGAACGATTTTCAAAATAATCTTTGGAATTTGATTTTTGAATGAATTCATTCCTACGATGATTCAACATTTAATCAAAATATTTCAAGGAAAATGTTTCGTCAATTTGATAAGATAGATTATTCAAAATGCATTCAAAATAATTAACAAACTGCGTTATAAATTTACTTCTAATTTCAAATTGCGATAAATGTGTGACTATTCGAACTTTTGGACGTTGCTTTTACATAGAAAATGTATTTCAAATTTATTTTTTATTCGTTTATCTTTATCTCTTTATCTTTATCAAAGCGTACATCACTAACATTTGTTGTGGCAAATTCATCCATTATCGGGCATATGTTGACGGTCAATATTGGGGTTGGATTTGTGTGTAGTTTCAGTCAATTTTACCGTCAAAATGGAAAGGAAAAAAAGAAAAAAAAACAATTCAGTTAGATTGAATGCAAAAATAAACTATCAATTCAATAAAGTACTCACCTACGGGTTCTTTTATATTCCGCACAGCCCTAAATAGGGACCCGTACTGCGGTCAAGGGTACAATAGAAATCCTTGGATTTAAACTATTCACGCCTAGTAACTAACAAAATTGTTAAAATATTCTTCTTATGATTATTGTTGATTTTATGCTGCTATCAGTTGACATTGTTCGCATGGTGTGGATTGTCAGGTCTCTTCAACGAATCGGGCAATGGTATGCCAAAAAGACGACACATTCCTATAAAATCAGAAACAAACACAAAACATTAATCAATTAATATGAACACTGAACACCTAACGCTCTGCTCTCTATTCTCAATTTAATACAGTAAAACCTGTCAATAACGGAATCCCATGGGGAAATTTTTATTTCCACTATTGACAAGAATTCCACTATTTCCAGGTTCCATTAATAACAGGTTTTCTTGCCAATTCAGAAATGATTTTCCATTATTGAGGGTTAATTTGAAAAAAAGGAAAAATTCATTCATATTTTTATCATTATATAGGTAGCAAAATTTTTCAGGGGATGATTTTAGAAAAAATTCCTAGAAATCAAAAGAATTTTTTGTATGGGAAATCCTAGCAAAAGGAGTGTTCCAATGGGAAAAAATTTACTTCCAAAAACCGCTCTAAAATCCCTAGCAAATCGAAAGAATTTCTCTCGCGTTTCAAAAACCCTAGCAAATCAAAAGAATTTTCCCCAAATTTTTTCCACTATTGGGGGTGAGCGTTTTTTACAATTTTCCACTATTACCAGGTCATTTTATATGGGATTTTTTTTCCACTATTGACAAGAATTCCACTATTCCCAGGTTCCATTATTGACAGGTTTTACTGTATTAATACAATATACAATTATGCACATACCTTTGAATAAAATATTCTTTGCGGCAACAATGTCACGGTGCCAAATGACTACGTGCTCAATCATGTCTTCTGGTGCAGCATCACCCAATTCATGGTATTCTCGAGTTAATGACCAAGTTTTGAAGATAACTTTTATCTTTGGCACTAAACGCTCGATGTTCTCACGATCTGGATTGATTGCTCTCTCTACAATTCGCTCTTTCTTAAGCTCTTGTCTGCTCAAATTCGTCACAATTATCGGTGGTAGTCCAACAATCGGTTTTGGTATGCAATTTCGACAAATTTTGAATCGATGATTTTTGGTTTCTCTTGGAAATCGCTCGTGACAATTGGCACACGTTATTGATGTACCCCATTCATCTTGAAAACTGACCTTTGTGTGCTCTTGTTTCTTGAAGCTGGTCGCCAATTTACGCGTTCCCGGGCATCTTTTCCGCTTCTTTATGCCCCATGGCCGATTTGGTGCCATTTCTCCAGCACCAATCCAAATCCAAGACGGTTTGTTGTTCGTTACCCGCATGGCAACTTTATCACTTGTTTTGGTAGCCTTGATGTGGTGATCGAGATCCAATCGTGCATATTTTCGAGTCGCATATGCTTGCATTCCCATTCGTAGCATTTTGATGCGATGCAGAATGTACGCTTTCCATGTGGATCCACGCGGCGATGGTATCACTGGGTACGACTTGAAATCCATTTGTTCTTCTTCAACAAACCACCAGGTCAACCGATCAGCCTTCCGATCTCTCTTCTTCTGCTCGGTTTGCCAATGAAATCGTGGATTGGATATTTTAATGTTTTCCTGTTAAATAATAACGTCAAATTTCAATCACGTTCCAAAAAAAAAAACATTGTAATAACAAACTTAACTTACCTCAATGTTTGACTTGATATGGCGGCGCACAACGGCCACCCACGTTTTCTCGTTCGGATCGATGGCACTAGCATATGTCATGTTGTTAAATGTGGCCTGCTCCGAATTTTCCACCCAAGCCTTCGCTGGCTTCTCGTACAATATTGACACGCAAACACTATTGGTGATGATTTGCGAGTGAAACCGCTTCTGCTTGCCGATTTGTTTGATTTTATCCATGTCGAAAACCAAATTCCACAATTCATCTCGATGGCCGTACAAGTAATAGTCCAGTGTGTATTTGTTCATTCGATTGGTCAGCGGATTGCGAGAACTTGGCACCACTCCTAGTACAGTGTTCGCCAAATAATACATATCTGTCATATCCAATCGAACGTTTTTCAGTTGGAATCGGCATAACGGGACAAGTGCGAAATTGTTCACTTTTGGCGGTCGATTGTTCGTTATCAATCCATCGCGACGGAATGCATGCCATTGTTGTGAATATTGATGAAACACTTCGATTTGGCGTTGCATTTGACCGAACATCCACAGTGATTGGAACCAATTGTCCTTAACGAACTCATTGACAGTGACCGGAACCAATTGTTCATTATGAACTTTTTGACACTGCCAACCGATTCTTTCCAGTTCATACAATAAAATGTTCATCTTATTTGTTCTCTCTACATCACCATGTGTCAGATCTTTGTTACTAGTGGCGTAAACTTTTGCGTTTCGTATATCGATGCCGTCAAATTTTGATCCATTGTATTGATGGCCATTGATATGCATGTTATAATACCAGCGTTTCATTTGAAAAAACGATTCAACATGTACTGAACAATGAGTGTTGAGATTGGTCTGATTATTTCGAATGTGATCTTGGTAGAAATAATTAAAACCATTTCCCAGGCATTCTTTATCGGGCCATTCAAAATTCTCTACACCGAAGTGTGCCTCGACAATGTTACGAAAAGCTGGCGGCATTAGTTCCTCTCTGTCGACTTTATCGGCTAAAACACCGTTAAAGCACTCAATGAAAAATGTTTTACCGTTTTGTACAAAAAATTGTTGGTTCCCATCATCGATGGCTTCTTGAATTTTGTACAACGCCAACAATGATGCCAGTGACGAAATCAGTGTCATTTTGTAGCTTCGATGATCCAAAAACTGAATCACTCTGTCGCGATATTCTTCCCGTATGATTGACTTGACGCCTTGTTTTATGACTACAAGGTTCTTAATGTCGTCTTTCCTTTCGGGTGGACTGTATAAATGAAACGAAAACAAAGAAAAACATACACACTTATTTAAAAAAAACTGGTCACAAAACAATATCGCGAAATTGCATCGAAAATCCAATGAAAAATAAAACACAGAATAAATATTACGAAAAACACTGCTTACATATTAAATTGATCCTCTCTTGATCTTGTTCTACTCATGGTTTAATCAATCAATAACAATTTCTGGTGCTTTTCCAAATATTATGGGATAGTTATCACTATTTTCGGTTGCAATCAATTCGCATCAATTTCACAATTCAAATTGTAATTTTTAATGTGTTTTTGTTGGTTCTGCTTGTAAACTGCCTGACGAAATTCAATTATTATTATCAATTTAAAGTTATTTTTCTGACTTGATGATGAGATTTAATGGTATTTCAAATAGCTTCACAGCGCGAACGGTAACTTTGAACTAAAATGAATGCAGAAATGCACCGCTATTTATAGCAAATTATTGCTGTATTGCAAAAAGTCAAGCCTCGAAAACTAAAATGACTGGAATTAAACGATTTTATTGATACATCAATATATGCAAAAAATTTACAATATTTTCATTCAACAACTCAATCACTCCACTTTGATTTGCCACAAAACTCTGCCGAAAATGCATTTTTAAACAGGAACATAACAAATCACAAACGAGAGAATTGTCGAAATGGTTTTTTTTTCAAATGTGTTTCGATGATTTGGAATATTAACAGTAATACTTTATAAATGTTCTGTCGTTTGAATTGAAAACAGAAACAGACACAAAATATTTCCGCAAATATATCCATCACATTTCGTGAACACACGATATCGTTGTATCAAAACACTGACGAAGCACATCACAAAAACAAGCGGTGATCGGGAATACTGTTGTACGGTCAAAATCCTACAGTTTGTTGCATTCGCACTAGTATTTCGTTTACAGAAAAACAAAAACACAAACACATATTATATTGTCTCTCTCACATGTTTCGTTTCTTTGTGCTGTGACATAAAAAAGCCACTGATACAATATTAGCACTAAAATCCATTTGTCTTATTTTATCATGTTGAAAACTGAAATCGGTTGTCATTTTGAATTTAATTTGTTTGAAAAAAACAACAACAACGCACATTTTCTGACCGCTAATAAGAACAAAGAAACTCGTGCGTATGAAAATTCGATTGGAAATCATGGATATACTCTACATTCCGTTTGACACTAAAATGGCCACATAATTATCCTTGTGAATGTGTGACTCTCTCTGTTGTGCATTTGTGTGTGTACAAACTTTCAATTGTTTATATGCGCGACCGGTTCAATATTGCATGTTTCAAACCGAAACACAGAATGAATTTGTTTATATCACTTTCCCTCACACACACACAAACTCTGTATTCGTAGCGATATTTGACTTTTTGAATTTGTCCAACTGAATTTTAGGCGACGGAGAATGCAATCGTATGAGATTGTTGTTGTTGTATACCAAAAATCATCTCTTTCTAAACTGGCGGCACTTCTCAGTATAGTTTTGGCCGCAATAAAAAAATCAATCCCGTTAAATATTGAATAGAGTGATTTGTTTGTTTGTGATACATGTTAAATCGAAGCACAAAAAATTCCTTTGCTACATTAATTCTGTTGAAAACTGAAAAATGTGAATACAAACTTTGTGTGTACTCCAGTTGAAAAGAAAACAAATCTGAATGGCAACTCATTATATTTCGTTGTGATTTTGTGTATTGAAACATTTTTGTCAATACACTGTAATTTTGTCGATGTGTGATGTTCAATATTCAACTGATCCTTGCCTTCTTAATGATGCTGGACATATGTATGAATATAAGTGATACAAAATGCAATCAAACAGCGAAAACAGTCGATAGAATTGTTGATATAAATTTTATGTAAACAAAATCGAACATTTGAATCTCATGTTACACATACTTTCATTCTTTAAACGAGTAAGAGTCAGCAAAACGCGCATTGTATCAATACCGTTGTATGCTTTGAGATTCAAACAAAAACGGCAACACATTTGAGTGAGTTTGAATGAGACTGAAAGACTAATAGGAGAAACAAGTGAATAAATTGTAAAATGTTAACGTAATAAATGAACAATTTTATTGGAAACTATGCATATAATCAACTTTCCATTGACACGAAAATTACCACCGAAATGGGTGAAAACGTTACATTTTTCAACGTTAAAATAGATAAAAAACGTTACATTTTTGTTTGCTGGGTAATTATAATTGAGTTATTTTTTTTTTTTGAAATTCGGTAATATTTCTCAATAAATTTTGAATGGGGCGAGATTTTATTTGAACAAACGATCCAAATTTGTTCAATTGCTTGCTTACGATTGATTTTACAATTTTGAAATGTTACAGAGGTCGGTGCATAGAATGTGAAATTATTTGATTTTGTTTTTGTACACACACATTTACTAATTTAGGCACATTTGTGTTGCTATGGCGCCGTGGATCGTCTGTATTAACTGCTGGCCATTTGAAAATCACACGCGACGAACGATTCAAAATAGTGGACGATTACAATTTACAAATATCGAATGTTAAAACACAAGACGCTGGCGATTATATTTGCCAAATTGGAGATCAAGAGACGCGTGATCAAGTGCACACGGTCGAGATTTTAGGTGAGTTAATCTACATGCACACAAAAATGTGTGCATAATTAGAATCCGGTTATGTTACATTTGGAAAAGTTTTGGTGAACGAAATAGAGAACGAGTGATATAAAAAATACCAAAGTTGGCAAACCCAAATGGTCATTGAGTTATTTGGCTTTATGTATGTCGGGTTTTTTCTGTCACTCTCTGTATGTGTTGAAGCCATTTTTGGTCAATGTAGCCCTACACTTTTCATCTATCTCTCTCCCTCTTCTACTTCCCTCATTCACGAATGTTAAAAACGATTTCGATTTATATAAATAAAAGCATGCAACCCCATTAATGTATATGGAGACTTTTGTGCTTTAGTTTACTAATTACATCCAATTATTTTTAGTTCCACCAACATTAAGAGCTGTACCACAAAATGGACAGGTTGCGGCCCGAAAAGGTAGCACGGTTACACTTGAATGTAAAGGTATGTCGCCATCCTCTCTCTCTCTATGTGTGTGTGCTTGACTTTTTTGTTGTGCATATAATTCATTCATTTTTTTCCGGAATTTTCTTTTTTCAATAAAATGTTGCGGTGAATCAGCTTCTGGCAATCCAGGTATGTCTCTCTCTCTCTGTGCATGTATTTCAAAAATTTTGTTAAAAATTATAATTTATTTTCTCTTTTTTCTTCTCAATTCACATCAAATCGCATCCACAGTGCCGTCCATCTACTGGTTCAAGAAGGTACATTTGAAAATAATATTAAATGATCAATATATGTATATAAAATGCTCTGTTCTCAATGCAATAGCACATATCACCAATCAAGCAAATACAATTTCAAAAGTCGGCTCGAAGGCGATATAGTGTGTGTGTTGAAGAACAAGAGAATGAAATTCAGTCCATTCGGCATAAAGTTGTTATTGGTGGTGGTAATGGTGGTAGTTACTTTTGGTACAATTTTGGTTGCATTACTACGCACCGCACACAAATATGCATATACATACATTTCAATATATGTTTTATATACTCTACCAGCATTGGTCCAGCATTATAGTGCTCAATGGACCGAATTAAAACTTAAATGAGCATAATTGAGGCTATTTAAGCTACTTCGGCGGTATTTATGCCTTTTCATAACGATATAATAACATTACTTGTACTGATTAAATCCGAAAAGAGCACTTGTTTCCTTGCTTGCTCTCACTTTTTCTCCCCCTTTCTCATTCTCACAAAATACACGTACATATATTAGCATTTGTGTGATTTCAATTTTGGTAATATTAATGAAAGGTTTAAGATGCTCTGCCAAGCTATTTATACGTTAAGCGCATCAAATAGTGCTTATGAGAATTCGGATGAATTTGTGTAAAAGCATATCCGTACTTTGATCCGCCTTGACTTTAGCCTCTTTTAATTCTCTTTATTAAGACTAAATGCATTTTAATTTGTGTTAAATGTGTTTTCTCTTCTCTCTTTCTCTCTATTTTTATCTCGATAATTCTGCAGGATATTTTTGCGGGATCAACGCATTTGTCGGACAGTTCAACGTTGATATTGGAACGAGTGGATCGTCATCATCAGGGTGTATATCAATGTGCCGCCGATAATGGTGTTCGTGAGCCAGTTTCTATGGACATAAATTTGACCATTTTATGTGAGTTTTGCTCAATGACCGATGACAAATTCCTATTGATTTGTCTCGAATTCCGTTCAATTGTTCTTTATCTCTCTCTCTCTCTCGCTCCGTAACGCGCGCGTTTTTCCAAAATGACTTTTTTTTCGTCGTTGTGATTTTATGTTGCCGTTTGTTTGTTTTTTATTTTTGTTCAGCAAAGTTTTGTCAGTGTCCATTTTATCATTTGTAAATGGAGTGTTGTGTATTTGTTTTGCTGAATCTGCGGCAAAAGTATTCAATTTTTGATGTGTGTCTTTTCACATTTTTTCCGTATTGTTTGCCGTTTGCGTTTGGCCGATGTGAATAGATCAAATCCAACGAAAAAACACAGAGTGAGCGGGAGAGAAAATAAAATGAAACTGAAGTTTTTTTTCTTTGTGCTGCAACCAATTTTTTTTCTCTTTTCATTCGAGTATTTATGTTGAATGTTTTATTTATTTAATTTTTTTTTCACTGTTGTTATCGGGGTGGATTTTCGTTTCGTGCAGCGCCACCGGAAATTACAGTCGAAAGAAGTTGGGTACACGCCAGCGAAGGTTATGACATTGAATTGGCCTGTATAGTACATGGTGATGTTACTTCCGATGTAAGTACAAAAGCTGAATGAATCACATCATCCAACCGAATCCGAATCCGATTCAATTCAATTGAAGTTGCTTGTGTTGATGTTTTTTTTTTTGTTCTCGCTCTCGTCTCGTTCGCACGTTAAAATCGAATCTAAACCAAATCGAACCAATATCATGAACAACGAAGCGAACACGAAAAGACGAAAGAGAGAGCGAACAAAAGAGGAGCACACATGAACTGAAAGCGAACAGAACGAATTCGAATGGCAAAATGTGTCAAGAGACAGAGAGACATCATGGCAAAGCAAGAATAGCAAAGATAGTGAATAGCAACTCGAGTGAATCGAACAGACTACAGTGGATTTGACACTGCAGATGTAATACTCTCTGATGCTGATAATGCGACAATATTTTTGCTAGCACCATATTTTGCTTTGTTGTCGAAGCCAATTCGAGTTTATGTTCTAGTTCGAACATTTATTATTACGCATCAATAGAATAATAAAATCATTTCGTTTGTATAATAATATATATATAGATAGATAGATTTGTCTCTTTTCTCGATTTTTTTTAAATCGTCGCTTTTTTATCTATTTTCTTTTTGCTATACTGCTATGCGGTTTCTGTGCTCGTTCACCAAATTTAATACCATAGATGATGTGGTATCAGAACTCATTTCTACTTGATCCAACTGACCGTCGTTCGATGCAATCCAAAGGAGATCGCTACACACTCACCATTCGAAATTTCCAAACATCTGATTTCGGAAATTACAGGTAACGTTTTGTGCATGTGTATGACGCTGACAATTGTAATTGAAAAATTACTAATATCGATAGAAACATCAGCGCTTCGTCGCTTCAAATTTACCAAACGTTTGCACATATTCATCTGACAGTCTTCAAATTGAATGGTCCGAATAATTGAGATATTTCCGATATTTTTCTCTCTTTTTTTCTCCCTTTCTCTCTTTTCACATATTGGTCTTTTCTATTCTTTGCTTTTGGTTTGTGTTTATTTTTTCTTGGGGCATCCGAATCACATATTCGCAAATACAGTTGTGTAGCTGACAACGCTTTGGGCCGAACGAAAAAATACATTGAGATATCAGGCCGACCAGGACCAGCCGAATTCATTTCACCAACATTCAGTGGTTCGCTTGAAGTATACAATTTGACATGGAGCGTTGAATCGATTCCACCACTTGAGGAAATTCGATTGTTGTATCGCCGATTAATGGTAAGCCAATTTACAGAGAATGAAATAAAAAAAAGAGAATGAATGTAATACGTAGAATTCTGCCACACACACACACACCACAACAACAATATTAATACGGCTAATAACAATAATAATAATAACATCAACTCGAGTGTAAGCTAGTTCAGTGGTTCAATATCGAACTCGAGGTGCATTGTTGGTGCATTGTTGGTGGGCAAAATGTGTACAGTGTGTATTGCTGCATACACTGTTTTTCAATCGTAGGTACGATAATGCAGAGGAAGAGAGTGCGTACGAGAGTGTCGAAGAGTGAATGCAATATGAAAATTCGCTAAAACCCAAAATGCAATTTAGTTCGAGTCCAATGATTTATTGTTGAAATTGAAATGCTAACCACAATGGCTACATGAAACAGCCATTTTCCGAAAATGCTTAAAATGAAATGAATTCAATTTAAATAGATCGATATCACATGCTTGAAAATGCCTACTAGAATGTTAATTAGACTAATTTAAAAAAAAGAAGAATGCATTGCCTATTGATTGATGGGATGATTGAAAGGACCGAGTAAAAAAGTGCCCCTCGGTAATTTTTCAAAAACCCGATAGGCAGCGTAGATGTAGAAATATCCTAGGATATTCCCTTCACAATCATAGAAAATGAAGAGATGATTTTAATTTTTCGATTAAAAAAAATCATCCGAAAATATTCTTTTAATTTGCACAAAAAAAATTATTTTATTATTTGTGTTCAAAAATAACGATAATTTTAAATATTTAGGTTGTTGAAATAAATTATAACATAACACCACACAAAATAATAATTTATTTACATGCTCATTGTTGACAATCCTTAGCACAAATACAATAACAGTGCGAAGCGCTCACTCACAAAAATTCATGTGATGACATAAACCAAAGTGAAACGCGCATGTATTTGTGCGAACAACATCGTCTTCATTGAGTCACATGATCAAAATTCTTTACGTTGATTCGTTCGCTTATGAGCATCGTGTACGATCATATGACTCAATGAAGACGATGTTGTTCGCACAAATACATGCGCGTTTCACTTTGGTTTATGTCATCCGAGTATCAGTTGCGTTGTATATTGACAATGTATTTTAACGCGACTCGATTTAAGAAGCGCCATCTCTTTCACGCCAGGTTCTCATATATTTTTTTCTTGCAAATATTTTTTTCTTGCAAAATTGTATAAATTGAATAAGTTTTGCAATAATAATAACGAAAATAATCAATAGAATTTATAATAAATAAAAAAAATAGAAAAAACACACAAATATTTTATATTATATGATTCACCAGAATAGCTTCACTTCGTGTTGTTTACGTTGTTTCTTTTGACAGATATCAATGTTTGACAAATACATATTTTCTCCACGTAACCATCTCTACATGGTCTACAAGGCAAAGCTACATATCATATAACAATGAGCATGTAAATAAATTGTTATTTTGTGTGGTGTTACGTTATAATTTATTTCAATAACCTAAATATTTAAAATTATCGTTATTTTTGAACACAAATAATAAAATAATTTTTTTGTGCAAATTAAAAGAATATTTTCGGATGATTTTTTTAAATCAACAATTTAATATAAACAGATAGACAGCGACATCTATACGAAATCAACAATTTAATTTCCTCGTAATGTTTTTGAAGAAAATGCACGTTGACATATCACACATTGACAGCTGTGTGACATAAAAGGGGCACAAATCCCAGGGATATTTTATACGCTCCTTTTTGTTAATACTTTTTGTATGTTTATCTGTACATATGTGTACGCTACCATGTATACACGTACGGTTTGTGTGCTGTGCTGTGTTTGTGTATGTGTTTTGTTTTTATTTCGTCGATATTGTTATTTGTTCGATTGTCGATAGCAAATTGTAATGTTTGCGATTAAACTTTTGGACATATTTTGTGTTGTTTAATTTGATATACATTGTCATTCTAATTTTCATCCTCGTATTCGTATAGATGAACGAAACGTATCAACACCCAGGAAAATGGCACGATTTGGTATTGATACCAACATTGACTCGGTCCAGTAGTAATCATTACGTTATGTCGCATGTGATTCGTGGCCTGGAGGGGAATTCAGTATACGAAGCAATAGTTCAAGCGAAAAATCACAACGGATGGAATGAGGTAAAATGATTTTTGTTACGATGTTCGTGATTTAGGCAATATCATTGACAAATGGAAATGGCAGTGAGGACCATTCCACCGTTTTGCTTGCCTCATTGTCTGATAATGCGTGTGTTAAGTTGATGTTCGGAAAAACAAAATCAAATAAACAAATCGAATGTGAAAGAGACAAATAGTGAGTAAATGATTGTCGCAATGTTTCATTTGAGCCGCTTTGATGCTTTCACATTCACAAATCTGTAACAGATAGATAGTAATGTAGCGAGAATGGGAAAAGGGCGCCGAAAAGAAAATCAAATATAACATGCGGGTAATTTGAAATGTTGTCGCAACCAAAAAACAAGCCGATCAAATGAAAAATCAACATCAAAACCTACAAGTTTCCACAATATTAAAACGCGCGCGCACACACAAACATACCTACACTATTGTATTTGGACGCGCGCGTGTGTGTATGTTTATCGTTTCTGCCTCTATTTACTCAATGTATTACATTTGTTTGCATGCTCCTTTTTAAAAGCAATTTTTGCGGAGCATGAGTGAAAAGGGAAAAAGAAACGTCTGATGAGAGAGGCTGAAGTGTATCGTGAATGAGACCGCAACAGCACAAATGGGAAATATATAGAAAGCAACCTGCTCTCATGCAAAGCATAAAAACATTAAATTCCATCCGAACATTTTGTCACATAAAAACAGAAAACATAATATAGAAAGAGGCATCGCCAAAGAAAGGAAAATGAAGAAGAGCAGAATCGGACGTTGATTTTGTTTGTTGAATGACTTAAAAGTAAAAGAAAATTCCCGTGTGTTTTTGATGATAACACACATGGAAAATGCTCTTAACACACGCATATCCATCTATTTATTCAATGTCTTAATACACATTTGTTTACTTTCTTTCTTTCAATTTTTTTCCTTCGTTATTTTTATCTGTTGGTGTTTTTTTCCCTTCTTCTAATCTCTCTTTCTCTCGGTGCGGGTGACGACTGCGTTCAACATTCTCTATCGAAATTCAGATAAGTGATATCCATCAGTTTTATACACGAAGCCACGAGCACCCGATTCAAGTTGACGATATGGAATATAAAATGGCCTCATCTTCATCGACAGCATGTGAATCGATACCAACCATATTCACATCCATCTTCGGTCTAACGCTGAGCATTCTTTGGCTGACCCTACACCAAATTCAATAATTTCATTCAATGTGATTTTTTCCTATTAAATTAATTAAAAACAGAAACAACACACTCACACACAAAGTATTTATTGATTTAGATTTTAACAACAACAAAAAAGCATAAGTAAAATTAAAAAAGCAGTCAGATTATGTCAGAACTCACAATGGAATACGCGAAGAGAATGAATATTTCAAGCACTGAAGAAATGTAACAAGAATAACTTTAGTAGGTTTATTATATATATAGTATATATATATATAAATAAGTAATTTATTTTTAGGTAATGAGAAGATGAATTCATTAAGTGAACTATTCAATTTGATAGAGTTTACTTATGAGAGAAACACGTAGATTTGTGTTAGTAAACATATAGAGAAAAGAAGGATTATAAATACGCATAAAATACATAGCGAATTATTGTCGCGTGCGAAGGCCGAAACTATTGCAATCAAACGAAAAGAGACGGAAGTTATTGTCTCATAAAATCGCATTTGAAATAAAACAAATTCAAATAGGCTTAAGCAAGCAAAATTGAAAAGAAAACGAAACACTACAATAACATTTTAACAATTTTCTCTTTCTATCAGATTAGCAACTATTTCTACCAGCAGCTGAATTCCAAAAAAAAAAAAGAAAAGAAAAACGGAAAAATGTGGAAAATGTTATGTGTATAGAGAAAAAATCATTTTTTCATTGTTTGTAAAACAACAAAATATTTAAGTTTTATGTATGAATAATTATGCACAAAGAAACAATCGATTTATAATTCAGTGAATAATATTCACCCGTCCTCATCGGTGAAGGGCCTACACAGTAGGCAAATATGATTGCATGTTTGCTGCAACAACAAGAAAAAAATGGGCGGTTAGGCACAATGTCGAATTGCATGGGCGAAGCAACAAGAACCCTTTCTAATGAAATTGATATACATATCCGTGTTGAATCGGAATTGAACCATCCGAAACAAGCCATTTAGTTCATTCAATCGATTCAATTTCCAACCGCATCTCGTTTAAAACTTTCTAATTGTTGAAGTCTAACAAGTTTTTTGCTTTCATAAAAATGTCAGTGCGGAAGAGCGAAGAAGATTTATAAATGTTCAGTTTGAGCTTCAATAAAATGTCCAAGCCAAAAAACAAACAAAACTCTTCAAACGATATGCCGAATAGGAAGCAAACATTTAATTCGATTTAAAACAATGAGATAGAAAACCCCATCCTACTAATTGTAGAACCCGAAAAAACGAATGTAGGCACATTGAAAATGAATTGAACGAAAGCAAAACTATCAAAAAATATAGTAAAATGCAATGTTTGATGTGAAATTATTAAAAATAAAATGAAAAATCCAACCACAAAAACACATAAATCCTAAAGATGATGCATTTTATTTGTAAGTATTAGAAACGTAATTTGTAATCATAAACTATTAGTAATTTGAATTTTAACACAATAAATTTTAGATGGAGTGAAAGCACTCGGAAACACATTGAAAGAGAGAGAGACAAAGCATCGTAAATTCATTACAAAAGTGTATTATACAGATTCCACAGAATGCCATTAAATTGAACGGCACAAGATGCGCGCATGTGTTGAATTTCGAAGTCATTTCAAAATTGAGGCGAACAGCATAGCGAAGAAGACAATTAGAGAGTGCAACTATAAGCATTTACACTTGAGCAAACTTTTAAACAGAACATTTAAATGGCTTTAGAAATGTAGATTTGTAACTATATGATTGAAATGATTAACTAATACGCGCCATACCAAGAAAATATATACACATTACATTTATGCCATGCATATGCAAAATTGTCGAGTATTGAATTTAAAAAAAAAATGTGCGAATTTTCCCACCATTTGCACTAACTAGGCGACAAATAAACACCATAACTAAGTTTACCGATTCATTCTCTCCCACTCTCTTTCACTCTTTCGCACGAACACACACACACCAAACTTTCAACTAATTAAAGCAGATAAATACATTTTATGAAAATCCAATGTGAGTGAGTGTTCCCATTTTGCGTGCAGGAAGATTGAGTAAGTAAAAGAGAAAATTCAGAATTATTTGGTCGAATAAAAAATATTTATTGTTAAATTACACATTTATCGATGGCGTACGCGGCAATTGTATCGCTCCTATTGCGAAACAGATAAAAAAAACAATAGCATGTCATATTTTCATGTAATATTTCCACAACACAGATCAAAAAAAAAACAAGTCAAAACCAAAAATATATTTCTTCAAACCGAACACACACAACTGAACAACACTCGAAAAGTGGAGTTTAACACAGCACATTAGCATAATTTTATGGATCGACATATAAAATAGCTTAAGGCTTAAAGTCTCACTGACCCATTGAGACTTGAATCCTCAATCCAAAGAGCATTGAGACTTTGACGTTGTTGCTACAAGGCATGAAACAAGCCGCCTCATGTTAAACCTTTCTTCAAAAAAACAAAACAAAACAAAACAAAAACCTTTTCTGACTACACATCACTTTTATAATACAGTATATGACATCGCTGTTAAGAGACATTCAATACATACATATTTTTTACACAAAATGCGCACACTTTGACCTCTTCAAGAAGACCTCTTGAATCACGCCATCAATATGAGTGTGTGGCGCGCAATACTATGTAGAGGTTGAACTTAAACGTAAACATTTCAATGTAGAAATACACCAATTTTTACTGCGAAAAAAAAAACCAAAAACCATTAAAGCAATTTCCTTTTTGTTGTTGAATTTTTTTTAAAAACTTAGAATTTAAATGCGTATTGATAGAAAATTAAGAGATTTAATTCCCTGAATGAAACCACCTGATGTAAAGGTAATTTTGCATGGAAGCAAAACAAACCCCACAATTCACTGAACTTAAGTGAAATGAAATCCAGTACTGACTAGTTGTCAAAAATAAACATTTACAAAAAAAAAATAATAAAAAAAATATTCAAAAAAGACGAAACACACAAAAGATATTATGTGACATAAGAAATAGTAAGATATTATATTTATAAATGTATAAAAGGCTAATTAAACGTACCTACACATAAATTTGTATAAGGCGATCTTAAAATTCGTATGTATCTGTATTTGGTTCAGTTTATCAGAATAACAGAAACAAAATTATTGAAAATAATGATATTTTTTATTGATGACACACACACACACAATTACACACTTAGAATGGTTTATGATGATGATAGAAAAACTACATGGCAAAAAAAATATAATAAGACGGTGAATATATATATGTATTGAATAATTTACTTTTTTTTTGTTTTGATGAATATATCTATAAATGGTGCAACTGAAACGCAATAGCAATTCGTAATTTGTTATCTATGAAAATAAACACAGATTTAGAAATGAAAAAAATCAATTACAAAACGATAATTGAAGTAATAAGTCCGCGCAATTTTCCGATAAGCATTGTGACACGCTTCACAAGCAATGCACAAGCAATTCAGTCTCAAAAATTGATGATTTTTAATAAACTACTCCATTGAGTACTTCATATATTGCATGCAGAAAAATATTGGTCTTTCGGCCGAGCATATGAGTTTTGCCTACCTATCACCGTTCCTTGAATCAAATTAAATAATTGACTACAGTCAAAGCACATAACATTTCATAAAAGTGTCATGTTCAGACACTTGTGTGACCAAACGACATTAGTGACGCAATAAAAAAAGAATCAGACAAACATACACTGACTGTGAACTGCCCAAAAATACTCTTTCATATAAATGAAATAAAATGGAAAATGAAATAAAAAACAATAAATGCGATCAAATTAAATATTTTACAAACTCTCGCTCTCTCTATCTCAAACACAAACAAAATAAAATGGGATTTAACAAAGTTACTGTTGATAGCTTTAAAAAAACAAAACTAAGCCTCCCTTACGTCTGCCAGCCTAAAAATCATTTCACCAAAACCAAATTAAAAACTCGACAAAAAGGCGCATGAAATGATTAAACTTTGAAATGGCTAAAACAAACACACAAAACCATAAAACGAATTGAATAATATCAGATAAAAAAGCGGAAAAAGTGAGAGAGCGAGAAAACAAATTAATACTGACCAGAAGAAAAAAAAACAAAATGAAATCACACACGCAGACAAGCACAGAGAGACACAGATATCGAGTTATGAAATAGTGATGCAAACGATACACATGATCAAAATCGAAAGGTAATTGATATAATAGAGATAGTGAAAAAAGCGCTACAAATGAAGTCAATATAATTATTCGAATAATAACAATGGATAACAGATTAACACAAAAATATTCAAATAAATACAAAAAAAATAGAAAAAGAATCGAAATTGTTTTTTCTTGTTATTTTTGTTTTGTTTTGAGTAATGAATAAAGCTGTGAAACCAGCAAATCGCCAAATGCTGAATTGGTTCTGTTGAATGATGATTTGCTCATCAAAAGGTATAAGTAAGTGTTTAATTTTATTGATTTTTTTTTTAAATATGCAATCGGTGCACTATGGTGCGATCGAAAAATGAGTTTATTTTCGGTAGGATGAATACCGTGTGATTACAATGCCAAAGGCTACTTGTTTTTTAATTGAATACATAAAAAACTAGTTTATTAATTTATTTATCAATTGAATACAAATTCAATGTTTTTTTAACGAGGCCGAACAAAAAAATTGTGTCCAAAAATGGCAGAAATTGGAAAGTGTTACCGAGTATTTGTGTGTGTATATTTTTTTTCATTAAAAAGCTTCGTTTATTTGCACAAATGCCTTTTGTTTGACCACACATACAAATACCATTCATGAGGCAGTTCTCTCATTTTTTTTTTGCATTGAAATTTAATTAAAAAAGTGTCATTTCAATTTTTCACCTGTATTGAATTCGATAAAGCTAAACATTGGCAACGAATCAAATTGCTGCATTTACGATAATTATATCAAAATAAATTAGTAGAAAATATTTGAAATTTAATTACTCGGCACTGTGAACGGCGCGCATACACACACACACGCTCACATATATCCATTATGTACTCATTCAGTGAGTTCCAATTTTGTATCGGTCGCATAACAACACAATCGCTTTTCTATTATCGTATTCACTTTGGATAGTTCACGGGTAAAAAAACGTGAATTTGATATCAATGGAAGAGTTTTAATTAATTATATGTATACAATTAGTCGTTTTTTCGTGTGCTCTTTTGATTTGTATCATTTTTGTGAGGTCGGTTTTTTCCCATTTTTTTCATGTCATTGACAAATCGTCTGTTTTAGGTTAAATGCCAAATGAAATTGAACCGTAAAGCGAAAGCTTTTTCACATTTCCATAGTTAATTCGAGTGGATTGGAGCTTAACGCAGAAAAACCACATTGAGTAATTTTTCACAAACAAATAGCCGTTTGTTATTAAAATCGTTAGCATAATTGCATTTTTACACTCTATATCAAAGTCATAAATGTTACGTGATCCTTACCTCATATGGCCGCGCTGTTTCTATCCCAACACACACACACACAAACGCATTACATAAAACACATACAAAGACACAAAAAATTAGTTGTTTTTTTGTTGGTTTTTATTTACTTAACACTAGTAGAAAAAAACGTATATAAATAAATACGAAACAAAAAAGAGCTTAAAAATTGTTTGATGTCAGGTTTGAATAAACAGAGTGAAAAACGTGATATTTTTTGAAAGAATTCTTCCATTTGTTTGGCATTGCTGTTGTCAATATATGTTATTCTAGTATGTGCGCCAATGCATTTGATGGCGTCAAAATTGACGATATGTGGTTAGATTGATGATGTGGTTTGTTTATTTGCTGTTGTTTTTTTTTATTGTTGCGGGGGTGAAATTAATCCGCTAAATCACTATCAATATCGGCAATAAACTTTCGTAATGCTTGTGATCGCTTTTCGCGGGCGGCCTGTTTTTCCGATCGATCAAACATCTCCGATTCCAAATCGTCTAGCCGAGCTTTGGTTGCTTTGGCACGTGCCGATGCACCAGAATCATCAGTTATCGATGATACAGCCGACCATTTTGTAACAGCAACCGGTTCGGCTACTTCCTCCTCTCGGCGACTAGACAACTAAATTAAAAGGTTTTGTTTTGGTTTTAATTGAGATTCAGAAAAAGAAGTGAGAAGAGAAAAAAAAACGTAAAAGCAGAACGAGCGTAGAAGCAGGCAAGCAGTGTGACAAATGAAATAGTTGTTATTTTGAAGCCTATAGAAAAATGAGATTTCATATTTTTGTGGTACATAGGTTTTACACATTTCATAAAAAGAATAACAAGAGATGGTTTTTTTTTGTGTGTTTTCATCAAATCGTATAATTCTAATTATGAATTGAACTCAATTATATGATGATAATCATTTTTTTAAGATACATGCAGAATAATACACATAAATATGAAGTCTCGCGAAACGTTTTAATGTCATCATGATTGAAAAAGAATGAGTGAATGAGTGAGAGTGAGTAAGCGAATAAGCAAGCGACAGAGTTCACAGAGTCCAGAGTTCGGTTCATCTGTATCCGAAACATTATGAAATGCATACTTTGTATGAACTCTTCTTTATCGAACTGGCTGTTTTGCCATAGCTGTCGTCTACAGCAGCATCAAAGTCAGCAACGGCCGCACGGCCACGACGCTTGAACGAATCAACCGTATCTTCAAAATCCAGATCATCGGCGAAATTTGCAACTTTTGCTTTATTCGAGCGAATTTTGTTTATCGTTGTTTTGAACTGCAAATGAAATTATTTTCAAAAATTAAATCGAAACAAAAAACAAAAATTGTTCAAGTCGTGAAAAGGTCATGATTATGACGTACCTCATCATCAAATTCTCGGATTGTTTCACCGATGGAGCTTTTTGGTACACGAGCACCGCGAACATCAAAGAATGAATCTTCTTGAATGACTCGGTCAGCACGGCGTCTTGCATCGTTCAATGATTGATCATCGAATGGAGTTCTTGCTTCGCGTGTTGGAGTAAAAAATGTTGGTTTTGGTGAATCAAAGCGATCTGTTGTCAATGGTCTGAAAATCAAACGAAAACCATCAACATTTTTTTTTTCATTTTGGTCACAATTTTAAATGAAATATCAATCGAAGAATAAAAAAATCGAAAAAAAGATGATATGTTTACCTTCCGTAAAGTTTACGATCTAAGTTGTCAAGTGTTGGTTTATAATAATTTTGACTTGCATTATAGTTGCTGTCATAAATGCGAGTTCTGCGAGCCCCTCTTGTTGCAGGTCGTGACATTTTTATTTTATTTCTGCCTGTGATATTAAAGTGAAAACGAGTTAAAAAGAGAGATGAGAGAAAGAAAAACAACGCTATAAATAACTTTCGAATTAAGGAGAGCCAAGTGGAAATGAGTATTAAAAATCGCCTCAGCTCACTTAATTGAATGCGAAAGATGATGTATGAGTTGTTCCTGCCAACAATGTCTTTCGATGAAAAAAATATATAATCAAATGAAAAAATCCAACACAAACACACAACACACACCGAATCATTTTAAATGAGATGATGAAATGTAAACATTCGAGGATTAGAATCCCATAATAAATGACAGCATATTACGAAAAGCATATTCATCTTATTTCAAATGTTTCACATTAAAATAACGAACATTAACCGCTGATGAGCTTTTGTAAGTCAAAGAAAATGTGTGTTGTTTCTTTCTCATTCGGGTACGTCCGTGTTGTCGCATGATTTATATGATCGGGTGTTACTCTCTTGTCTTTCACCCAAATAAAATTAATGTTGCTCAATATTTTTCGACATTATCAAGTGCAATATTTGAGTGACGAACTCATCATTATTCACACCATTTTCCCGCTGTTCTCCTCCCTGAACATTTGTTACTCGCATTCCGTGCTGCACACCATCCGCGGTATAAGAAAAAAAGCGAAAATAATTTATTCGAAAGCCAGCGAACGCATTGTGCGCTCAATTTAAAATGTTGCCGCCTGCTTTAACCAATACTTCAATTGGCAATTCAAAATATTTAAATTGCTGTGCTATTTTTATTAAGTATTCTCGTTCATTCTGATAATAAAAGCGGGTGACAAGATAATACACCGAATATTTGTAAATAATTTTACTGTTCGGCTCGTGATTTTTCCCCAAACGGTGAAAATATCTTGCGCGCGCTGAAAATCACACACATTCCACGCTCACATCTCTCATTCTTGCGATCGTTTGCTGTCCCTCTCTAATTCGCATACATTTCGATTCTTTTGTATCACATATTTCTTTTTATTCCCACAACACACACACACACACATACGCACTCAGAATGGGAAGAGCAAAAGAGAAAGAATGAAAAAACCGACACCAAAATCAACCGTGTACTATCGAATCAAAATATATTGCATAAAAATAGAAATGGCTCTTGGTTGTGGATTTTTGTTTTATTCATTTAAAAATAAATCCGACGCATTACAACAACGTCCATTTCACTGAGCAATTTTCTATGTGTTGGACCAGAGATTGAGGAAAAACGAAACGATAAAATATCGCGCTGGTTGTCCGTTTGTAAGACTGTTTTCATCCGTGTATATGTGTGCGTGTGTTTGGTATGCAAAGAAAACATACAAAAATACCTCAATCAATTATTTTCGGTCGTTTTTTTTCGTTTTTTTTGCCCATTTTATTTGACGTTGATTCTCCACTTTTCAATGGGTTAATTCACTGCAGATTTTTCGATAAAATCTCGGCAACGAGACAAGGTCGGTCACTTTTTCCATTCATAAATTGTGATTATCGATACATTTGAATGCAAATTTAACATGTAATATTGTTGGACTCACAATTTAAAATGCAATACCGTTATTTTTGGTTCGCATACAATGGATATCGATTATGAATAGACTCGAATAAGCTGCCGCCATGTAAGAAATCTCCTTTAAGAGAAGAACCAACAGAAAAATATATAAACCATAAATTCTACAACCGATCGAATGATTCTTGGTTACACATTAATGTTTGACATTTTCTTCTCTGTTCATTGGTCCACAACAAAGCAATCCAAACCGAAATTTCGTTGCGCTCTATCAACTGTGCAACCCTTTTCCATAACGAAGATGATGTCACCCGTTAAATTCGTTACAACATTGCAATATGCTACATTGATTGAGCATTTTCGTCTAATGAATTTATCGATCTTTTCAGCTTTGCTTGATTTTTTTCCCCCGTTTTATTGACGGCAATTTCGATACAAAATGTTTATGTTTCGCTTGTAAAAGATTTGTTTTTATGAGTTTCTTGATAAATATAGAAATAGAAATGGGATTTGCGTGATCACTCAATTTTTCAAAATGACATTTCATTACAGTATACACCAATTTTCCAAAACAACACAGCAAAATAACTTCATTCACATCATTATCACTAAAACGCGAAACAATTCAGTGAGCGCTATTGGCCGTAAAAATTAATAAAAAGAAACTATGTCATAAAAATAAAATTATTTTCACCAAAACAATACACACACTTTTTCGGTAGAAAACAAATTTAAAAAAAACGGACGGAAAAAAATTGAATACCTACCGATTGAGAATAAAACGAATTAAAAATTTTATTTAAATTCGCTGGGCGAATTGAAAAAAGAATCGGTTGGTGCGTGGATGTAAGAGGAAAGAAAAAACAAAAAGATTTTTTTTTTGGTAACAAAAATATTTCTATAACTTTATCGTTCGATTAATTTCATATGACTGACTTCCGTCGATGTGAAACAATCGATGCTGAGACTCGAAAAAATGTAGCGCTTAAGTCGTGCGCTCACACACACACACACGTAAGCTTTTTTTAACTGTTTTTTTTTCGCGAATGCGCGCTCCCCTTCTCTCTGTCTCTCTTGACAAATTGTTGACTCGTTTTTCTTTTTGTCTTAGATCATCGATGCCGTTTACATTTTGCACTGTTGCTGTTGTCGTTCATTGGTTTCTTGAATCATCCCGGCACATCTAAATCAGAAATCCTGTATAAAATATCAAACAACGGTTGGCTCACACACCGAACAAAACGTATTTAAAAAAAAACAACAACAAATTAACATACAAACACAAACAAACACTTGCGTCAAGTTTGAACAGTAGTTGATACCGGGTCACTCGGAACTTTGTTACGTATGACGTCAATTATCACACCTATGGACGACTCACAAATGAGCTGTGTGTTTTTTTTGCAATTTTCAAATAGCTTGCTGAACCTCTCATCAGCTTAATATATAAATCTGATTAATCAAATAGGAGATATTGATCTAATCGACCATAAAATATGTCCGGAAATGTATTATACAAATGTGGCATTAAAAGGGTACGATAAGCCGTTCTAATAATAAGATTTGATGTAATTCAAAATATTGTTGTGTCGATAGAGGAAAATCGATTACGTCATTATATGTATTTCATATTTCGAATGTTTTGAATCGGTTTCAAAAACAAAAGCCACCGAATTTGTTACTGATTATCAGATATTGAATCAGAAAGAGAAAGAGAAAATAATTTGAATGGACGATTTGCCGTCATTTGAGGTTTGTTGTGAAATTTGACTCATGTCGTCAAATGGGATCAATCGCACATCGTGCTGTGAAAATAGATGAAAAGGCATTCATTGCTTAATTGTCGTCGTTTTGAAATGATATGCATCGTTGTGTGTGTCAGTTTTCATTTCACTTTGATGACTTATCTCGTGCCTGTTGTGGTTGAAATGCTGGTTGATGTGAACATGCGTTGGTACCGCACAATGCAACACGCCTTGGCCATCGATTTGCGTCGCTGTACAAATATCAGAGAATCGTCAGTTTTTCATGTTTGATTAATAATATTTCGTGTGGCAAATCGTCGTCATTTTGATAAAATGAAAATGAAAAACGTATGTGAGAAATGTGCCGAGAGCACTAAACCAGAGATATATTCAAAAAGAATATTTAATTTTAATCGAGTTTCGAATCCGGTTGTAAAATATTGGTGGCACACAACGCAACCAAACACATTCATTGTATGCATACACGCAACACCTACGCAAACAACAACAAAAACATAAAGAGCTACGCCACATATTATGTGTTTTAGTATAATATTATGTTCAAATGGTCGTATCTCATGTTGCCGATCATATTTCGGATTTAATATTTTGCGAGTGAAGAGACGTCATTCTATTTTCAAATAAAATTTTATACGCATACAAGTGTGTGCGGTCAGTAAACATGTTCAAGTGGCTAGACTGTTTATTGCTTCACATTTTGACGACGACGACAACGATGGAAAACATTAGGCGATCGTCATATACGCATACACATGTTGTACAGGAAAATGTACGTTTCGTTGAAATTTATGTGTTGATGATATGTATTTTTATTATTTTGTGACGATAACGCAAATTTTTTTTTATCACGTGTGCGTGCACTGTCCATTGGTTGAATGGCACTGGTTTCTGATTTCCATTTGGAATTGATGACACCATTGATTGCATGGGCAGATGATGATGCTTATTGACGATTTAAATATGCGTCATGATCAACAATTGATGAATGCATTGTAGAGAATGAAAATTTATCAAAAACTTGGCAAATAAACAACATAACTGACTCATTTTCGTTGTTGCTGTTGTTTATTCCATTCTTGTTGAGATGAAGGTGTTTTGAGACACACTCTCCTGGCTAATTGATTACGTTTAAATCTATTTTAAGCCATACTGAAACTTGTATCAATATGCGCTTTTCATTATTATTTCGTTCTCACTCACGCAACGCACACACACACGCATTCATCGCAACCATTTTTTTTGTGTGAAAAATGCGATCAGGCTATTTCTTGCACAAATAACAGGTATTCTAGCAACCGAATTGACATTTCAGAGAAAGAAAAAGAAAAATAATAAACAATAAAAAACAAAAAACAAGGAGAAAAAAATGTGAAAGAAAATGATAAAAAAGCACTTTTTTCAGTTCACAGATTTTTCAATGCGAATCAAGCAAATAGACACAATCACATTTATTTTATTTGTGTATGTGCGTTAAGATTTATACCCAGGAAACTACTTGCCATCAAGTCAAATATTATTACGTAATTTCGACAAAAATACTTACTTTTCTTTAATAAAAATGAAAGAAAGAAGAAAACATAGTGTGCAACTGTTTGTTCACATGCTGGAAAGATTTTTCAAATGATTTACCTTCAATCCGGCTGTTACTGTTTCCATCGCTATGCTAAATAAATCGTTTCATTTTTTGTAAATTTTTCGTGCAAACGAAAATTCAAACAACGTTCGGGTGATTTTTTTTTTGGTTTCAAGTCAAAGAAACAGCGGTACGAAAAATACCGCCGACTGTTTATTCATTGAGTTTTATTTGTTCTTGTTGTTGTATTATTAGTTAAATTTATTTTTACTTTTTATGTGCGAAGTTGAGGAAACTTTTTTTTTTAAATAGTTTTAAAGTGTGTTTTTTGCCGAATATAAGTTGAATGAGGTTAAAGTTTTTTTTGTTTGCTTTTGTTTTAACACTAAAATGATATTCGAAAGTATAATGAGACAGTATCTAAATGTTAAATGTTTTCATTGGATTCACTATCTTTTATATGTTTGGTTTTTGATTTGGGCTTTTCTTGTTTTGATCTCCTTCTCTCATAAATAGTTTCGTGAATGATTTTTTGCTATTCTCCTTTCTTTCATTTGTATTTGTTTTCATATTGAGAGAAGAATAAGGTAAACAATTTAAACAATAGAATTAGATTGGATTTCATTTAATTTTAGATATTTTCTGTGTTTTAACATGGTGGTTGTTGGTTTGTTCTTTTGTTCATACATGATAACATTATTCATTCTATTAACTATATAAAGATTTTGTTCTCACTTTTATTTCATTTTAAATCGTAAATTGTTTGTAATTCCTGTGAATAAAAATTGTCTAACCTGCCATATGATCTTTAAATAACTTTATTATTTCGTACTATTCTAGTCGTTTTTGTTCTATCTCATTCTTTGTCCAATCAATATATAGATGGGTTTTTTATATTTTGTTTATTTATTAGTAACTATTGTACATTTGTTTTTTTTTATCAATTCATTTGCTATGAAAATTCTGAGACCGTTGTTTTATGCTTGCTTGTTGATTTTTTTTTAAAATAATTCGTCGTAAATATAAGTTTATATAGCCGTTAATCCGTTTTGGCCCATTCTGGTGGTCATTTTCGTGTCAAATGGAACGGAGATTATATGCATAGTTTCCACGAATTCCAATGGAATGGATCCACTTGTTTCTTTCACTTCCAATAATATTTCATTTGACAACATAATGTGAACACAACCCAATACATTAAGTTTTAAATTGAAAATCTAAATCTTACGCTCAAATAAAAAAATAAACAATTTATGCGGAAAGATATTTGCGTAATTTAATTTAAAACTCTGCAGAAGAACTCTTTTATACGTCATTTATTGCATTTAATTTTCTTTATTTGTGGAATTAATATTTTGAATTTTCAAAATGCAACTGACATTTTTCGATTGGCGCGGTGTATATGTATCAAACCAAATCCAAAGATATTCATTTATATGTATTAAAAATGTGCCCACATTGTGTGACAGTATTGTTAGTATAAACAACTATCGCACCAACCGATTTTGTTTACAATAAAACTTTAATTGGTTTTATTGTCATTTCAAAAACGATTTTATGTGTTTGGAATGCTGTTCACTGTGGAATGGATATATTCACAGTTGGTTTTGTGTTCATTTTTGTTTTAATTTCGAAATAACAGAGTGTTGATAAAATTAACTGTGAATATTCCAACAACATTTCGATCGGCAAAATATTTGATGTCACATTGGAAATAAATTTGATCATTCGATTTAGAATACAGAGTCACTTTGTTGAGGTAAGAGGTGATATTTTATAATGCGTTCTTCATTACTGTTTCATTTAATTTGTGATAGAATTTGGCCATGGGGGGGCGTAGTGACCACTGCGAATTCGGCGGCCCCATTCGGTCTATTTACCTTTACCGTGCAGCCTGAGATGGTGGCTGAGTGTTCATTCGATCTACTGACCCGGGCTGGTGCAGCCTGGGATGGTGGCTGAGTGTTCATTCGATCTACTGACCCGGGCTGGTGGACCGTGTGGGTGACCGTTAGAATATCGTATGTGGTCGTAAGATTATTATTGAAAAGATGTGGTTTTTGACGGTGATCAGATGTTTACCATGGTATATCACTGATTCATACCTTTTTCCCACCAACAAATGTATAAAAAATTGTAAAAACTCAAATGATTCAGCCAGTTTTGGCGGTGAATAAAGATATTATTATTAGAAGTGTTTATATCTTATTGTGTTTGTGATGTATGCTATATTTGGTGTATTTTTTTCTTTAATTTTTGTACAATAGATCTGTCACGATGAGAAGAAAGAGAGCCAAGAATGGGCGCAGTACGTCGTTGAAGATGACTCTAAATCAAGTGCTGCGGGAAGAGTATCGTGCACCATTCATCGATCAGGTCACATACTGGTGCCTTTCGGCCACAATGATTACGACTCTGGCGTCATTACTGTTTTTGTTCAAAGCAAACAAAGCCTTTGACGATGAAAATGTTCGATTTTTTAAAGGTGAATCCGATGAATACACGAATGATCAATTCAATAAATACGTGAATAGTGTAATTGGTGAATGTTTCACCTCGGTATTACAAGAAAATTACCACAAATTACTGCTTGCATTTCGACGAACTGTGGAGCAAGCATGTCCTGATTTTCTTCGTCCAGAAAATTGGCCAGCTCGCGAGGGCATGGGAAACGCATTCAATCATCTCATCACTCAGTACATAACAAACGTGAAAAATAACATCAAAGTATGGGCATTCAGTCGCATCAAGAAATTTTTCACGCTAAAGCGCTACGAACTGAATTTGAATCGACAAGGAAACCTCATCACTGAATTGAATGTGAAACGTGCGACGAAGATCGTAATGTTCCAAAGTAGAGTCGAGAGAAACGCGAACATCGATCTTCTATTAAACGAAGCAGCAGGCATTGGATTGCCAATCAATGTACACTTTCAGAATCTCATTCGTGGTCGCTGGTTCCAAACCATTACAATATTTATAAACATTCAGCGACAAATTTTCGATTTTCACGCGAAATATGAAATGTTGAAACAACGCTGATTCCAATATCGACGCGATCCGAACAACAATGTCATGCCGACCACTCCACTCCCGCCAAAAATAAAGAATTTTTTAGTAGTTCCAGTCCACGATTTCGATATGAAACATATCCGCATCGATATCCATCTTTTTTTCTTTTTGGCAAAAAGAAAACGCGGTCAGCCAATAAACATTGAAAAAACTGAATACGATAGCAATCCAGCTATCTATTGGAATTTAATATTTGACATGCCAAAAATTTCGAAACTTGGAAATGGTAAGGAATTCGATTTTGCTGTGACAACCGATAGTGTGGCAGTTTCGTTATGTTTCGTGAAGCCTGAACGCAATACACCAGAACTTGATAACAACACCATCAAAGAGAAGTACAATAATTTTGAGTTTGATTATGTGCTTGGAATCGATCCAGGAACGCCACCGTTCGCAAACACGTTCGATCCGGCAACGAGGTAAGAAACAATAAATTCATTCTTTATTTATCATTTATTTACTTTTATGATTTTTTGTTCGTAAATCTCAGGAAAACATCACAATTGATGGTCCAAAATACCATTTCAAAGCGAAATATGGCAAACGCAAGCGTAAATCCGATCAATGGACTGAATTGTTGCAAAAACAACGGGAGCTCGACTATAAACGCTATGCATTTTTTCCATCGCCGAAAGGACGTTCACATTGGATGTGTTACATCGCTTATTATGTGAAAATGATGAAACCAGCTATGGCGGTGTACACAACAAGAAAGTTTATTCGACTCCGTCTTGATAAATACATCGAAGAGAATCGGGCCAGTGACAAAATCGCGGCATCACTGACGAAAAAAAAGTCGGCGCTCGTTTTTATTGGTGCAGCTCAAATAGCTTCAAACTCACCAATTGGTATTAAAAAGCGATTGCGATGCCCGGTATTACGACGACTATTGAACAGTTTCAAGAAGTTGAGAAATTGTATTGTACGATTGGTCGACGAATACAATACATCGCAAACTTGTGCAAAATGTTTCCGGCCATTCGATCGACGAACCAAAAGCGATCGATACAAAGTTTGTCAGCATTGTATTCCAAGTGAAGATGAGTCATCGCAATGGAATTTACCGAACGTGATTATCACCATGAAAAGCAACCGAGTGTACCAACAATTGCGTAAATATGCAGTTGATTTTGTTAATCGATTGAATGCAGCCAACCCAGATCATATTCCAATGGATTCAGATGGTTTAGTGTCAAAACTTCAAGTATGTTTCAAAAACTGGCAACTAAACACTGGCATTTGGAAAGATGATCGAGCTCCATTTCAATTGAAAACTGTTTGGCACCGGGATATCGTTGCAGCCAAGAACATCATGTACAAAGGTGAAAAAATATCACTGAAATTAAAAATGTTTAAGAATGTTTTGGCTAACAATTTGTTGTTTACGATTTTGTTTTTAGGTCTTTGTACGGTGTTGGGATTGGACATTCATCCGCAACTATTGAGACCACAGAATCAAAATGCTGCCGTACAAAATCAAGCAGCTGACGATGAGGATTCCAGTGACGATGAGGACTACGTTTATTTTCTCGATGTTTCCGATGACGACCAGTTTTAATTACATGTAGCATTAAGATTTCTTTTTAAATAATATTATTGTAACGTTTTGTTACTAACGTTTTTTTGCTTGAGTTTTGTGGCCTTGACCGAAGTACGGGCAGTTCGGTATATAAAAAATAACCCGTAGGTGAGTATCATTTATTGAACTGAACCGATAGTATATTGATGCTGATTCATACTTAGTAACTGAGTTTATTTTTTCTCTTTTTTCTTTCCATTGCGACGTTGAAAATGACTGAAACTACACTAAAATCCGACCCCAATATTGACCGTCAACATATGCCCGATAATGGATGAATTTGCCACAACAAATGTTTTTTGGGATAGCCGTTAATCTAAGTATTTATTAAATATTGTCTTTGGAATATGTTCAGTGTGTACCACGTATACACCGAGAAAAATGAAACTATAATTCGGAAATGATGTTGAAAATTGTGGATTACATTTTTTTTTTACTAAACAAAATACAAGAAAAGTTGTTATTTGCTCAATTAGCACTGCAGACATTCTCTCTGTTTTTGTCCGTCTAGAGACTGCATCGAATGCCAAAAAACGTCTAAAATGCGGTAATTAAAATCTCATTTTAAAACAATTTTCAATCATAGACAAACATTTTACAAGCACATTTTCTTCGGTGTAAGGTGCACGGTGTATTTGTGACAAAAATTCGATTGAAAAAATCAGTCAACGTAAAGTTAATTTTTAGTTGTTCTTTCAATGGTTGGACAGAATGAAAATTTCTCTGAACATAATAAATTGCCGATAATGTTATAATTCATCTAACTTGAAATTGAACATTTTCACAAATTATATCGTTGGATCGCGATCAGAGAGGAGAAATGTTGCGCAACTCATGAATTTAAAATCTTATATTATTCAGAGCAATTGGTTCAATAAAATTCTATGCAAGAAATATGTAATGAGATGAAGATGCCGACGAGCTCATGAAGGAATTCTCCGAATCAAAAATGTTCAATTCACTTTGTTATTTTTGTCTCGATTAAAAGTCTTAAAAATGGTTGAATCTATACATGTATTTGTTGTTACTATTTGTTATTCATTTAGTTAAACTTTAATATCTCTTGTACTTGTAAAAATTCGGTCAACTTCGGCAATGACACAGATCAAACCAAAAAAATGTGAAGCACCACTGTCAATTTGTCACTTGTGTAGCAATTTTAGCATAATACACAAATTTATGCGGCGCGCGAATTTTTCTTTTCATCATCATCGCACCGCGTACAATGTTGATGCGTTACACTAATGATGCAAACGAAAAGGAATGATTTATTATTCCTTTGAAATAATTTTCGATTGGCATTGCTTGACGCAAAATTGCGGAAACACAATTTAAAACGGAACAAATTGTTGCTGCAGTGTTGATGAGACAATTTTGGTTTTGTTCAAAATGTTTTGCAAATTGTTTCAGTTTGATTTTTTCTGTATTAATTTTTTTTTTTTTCTGAATTTGACCAAAAAAAGAAAACAAAATAATATTAACATAAATAGAGATAAATACACATTAAAAAAATTATTAGTTTTCATTATCCGGCCGGTATGTTACATGTATTCCATTCCAAGTGGTTCAACGAAGAGTACATTCGCAGTTGGTTGTTTCTTTTTTGTAATTAGCGTCTTCTCTCTCGCTCTCCCTCTCTCTCTCTCGTTCTGTGTTTGATATATTGTTCGAGATTGCATACGACGCGGAAGCATTAAATAATCAAGGCGATTCGTTGCCTCCAATTAAGGATTATTGTGTATATTCGTAAATGTTTCATTTTTTTAATTGTATGGTATTTTGTGTAATTTGTATTTGTGTCTGTCTCTGTGTTTATGTTTATCAAGGTGCTATCATACCATTTGCACAAGTTATTGAGTAAACAATTTTCTTTCTGCCACTTCGTCTTCGCCTTCAATTGCGTTTGAATAGTTTTTTTTAAATTGAAACTCCACTTCAAATTCATTGTCAGCATTGTGTGTATGTGAGTGCATTTGTGCAATTAAAAAAAATATGTCTATATATGAAAATGGCTTTTTTTTCTCGCAACAAAAACAAAAACAAAAACACGCTGTTCCCTTCAGATTGACGGCCAAAAATAACCAAATTCTTAATAAATGCTCGCGCCCAAGCGCATTTTGTGTGTAAAAAAGATATGGTACAATTTCATTTTCAATTTGCCAAGGCCGTGCAAGAGCCAGAGCTCGAGCCAGAAAATGAGTCGCATCGTGTGTTGTCATTAGACAAATACACATCGCAAAACTTTTACATTTTTCTTTCAAACATGGACACAATGTTAGTTGCATTTTGATTTTGTTTCTTTTTTCTTAATTTGTTGGCTTAATTAACTGGTGAATTCAATTGGCGCTGTCAAACTATTCATACTCTCATGGTCATATTCATGTGTCATTTCTTCTGGTTCATTTTTTGTTGTTGAATCATTCAGCATGTGTGTTTTTGGCTATTTTTAGCGATGTATGTTTTGATTGCATTGACTTCAATTTAAAATATATATTTATTTAACAACTTAATTTAAATGAAATCTATTGATAAAAATAAGAATAAGAAAGATGTTACCCACAACAGCAACATCGCAACGACGATGACGACAGCGAAGAGGACTAACACAATGATTACTTGATTAAAATGAAAAATAAGAATTCGAAAAGTAAGCGACACGCTGACCGTAAATATATGAAATAAAAACGGTACTTCATTTTTATTTTGAAATATATTCGAGGTATGTCAAAAATAAATCTATGAGAGATGCAATAAAATTGTATATTGCGAACGATGATGATTGACAGAGAAATGACTGCTGAGAGCATTTGTGTTTTTCTTTTTTTTTTTTTTTTGAAGAAATATGGCACGGATCTATTTAAGTTTATTCTGTTATTGTTGTTTCACTTTTGAGACAACAAGAAGGCGTGAATAGATAGATACTTAGATATTTTAAAATCAATTGATAATCTACGTGCAATTTTTGTTTTGTGGTGAAAAATATTTCGTGGCTCTAGCGAACTGGTGCAAATAACACATGACTAAATTGGTTGGAGTGTATGCTTAATAAGTGTGTCATCTATAGATACGAACAATATGTTATTTGTTACAATGTTTCTTATGTTGAACGCAACTACCTGTCAATGGCTCAATACTCTTTATTTTATTAAAAAAAATTTCTTTCATTCATTTCGAATTTTTGGTTTGATAGAAATTTGACACACACAACAATCGAATCGAATTTTTTTTTGATTGAATGGGAGTGGCCACAATGATGGTAAATACACAAACAAACAAATTGATGAAGAATATAAAATCTTTTGTTACAATATCGATTATTCCCTTGTAAGTTGTCTTAATATTATTCACTTGCATATATAATATATTTACATTTTTGACATTTAATTTGTTTTTCTGTTTGATTTCATTTGTTTTTGCACTTCAAAATACATAAAAATTTACATTTCTAACACAAAAGGAAATGATTTTCTTTTCCCCTGTGTGCATCAACACTGAGAACTCGGTCACTTCTGTTTAGTTCTAGTTATGGTTGCACGTCGCTTTTTCTGTGCCAGAAATTTAGCGAATTAACTAGAGAGTAAGCAGTTTTGTATGGAATTCGACTAATGGCAGGAAAAAGGAAGTGAATCGATGCAAAAATTCGAACGTTCTTGTTAATTGTCTTTTCCACTGAGTCCAATCAAATGTTACTTCATAAAGATTGAAAAATATTATTTGAAATTAAATTGAATCATTTGCAGCGTGCCATTGATATCGGCTCCAGAGATGTAATCAATGTAATAAATGAATTTTAATGCCTTTTTTAATATATGACGTGACGTCATTTAGCCAGAAGATGTCTATTTATGTTTTTTGTATACGATTCAAATTCCAAGCATGTGTGCATGAAATCATAAACACCATTTTAATTGGCATACTTTACGTACGAAAATAAGTTCAAGTTTAGGTTTAAAATAAGGTAAAAAGAAAAAGCATCTCTCTCTAACACACACACACATCAAATTCAATATATATTGCCCTAAAAGATCATTTCCCTTCTGTTGTGTTTTTTTTTTTCGATTCGTTAATGAAACAGTAACATTCATTCGTTTCGGCAGAAGATGTTGCCATCAATTGCGCCATTTGTGTTCGTCGATGTTTTTAATTTTGTTTATGTGTTTTTTTTATATATATTCGTATAGTATGTTAGTTCCTATCGCCCATAAAATGCGCGTGGAAAATGAGACTTAATCACTAGGTAGTAATTAATATAGAAAAAAGATGCTGTTTTTTATGTTTGAATCGTGTTCGCTAGAGTTTTTAGTTGGAAAGTTCTAAGAAAAGAAATAATCGATTTTTTTTTCTCGCTAAATTTTCATAAATGTTTTTCTCGTGTTTCTTTTTGAATAAGTTATAGGAAGAACATTATCAACGTGGTTTTATAATTTAGTTGGCATTAAGTTGTTTTGTTGCTTGTTGTGGATAATGGGAGTTCGTATGAAAAACAAAAACATCTATATGAAAAATTGTAGTTTGATATACTTGATTAAATCTCAAAAAATGTTAGTATGTATGTGTATGTTTTACTTGGTTCGAACTGCAACATTTTATGTATGTTCACAGCATCCATTCAAATCAGTATTAATTCATTTGGATATTTCTGGTCTCATTTCTATTTTCAAAATACATACACATAAGACAATATATAACAAGATTTGTAAATGTTATATAAAAGCATCAGGAGCTTTTCAAAGAAAATTAAACGTTTAACGGCCAATTATATTTTGTATGTAATAGCTTGGAATGCCTTTCTTTTTTCGCACAAAAAGAAGCATGAGAACGTTGTGTGTTAGTTATTCGAATATGCTTTCACAAAAGAATGACGAAAAAAAAAATCAAATAAAGTTAAACAGAATTGGGTCAGACGAAAGAGTCATTTACAAATGCTATTTTTCTGTTTTTCCTTTTTTCAGTTCTATACACAACAAAGAAAATGAACCACATATTGGCGGCGGAGTACATGAGTTTGAGTTGACACATAACAGTCCCTCAAACAGATACAGAAAAAAAAATGTTGTTCAAAATAACTTCATCACACTAAATTTAGCTGCGGTTTAGTGTGTGTACTATGAAAATCCGGGAGCGCATTAACATGCGTTTCGTTTGCATAACACACACGCATTTTCTGCAATGTTTTTTTATTTGTTACAATGTACGCGAAAAGCACTGTTGCGCGATTTTATCTCTTTTACGCGCTGAAACTGGTACACTACTGTGTCATCTGTATAAAATGAGAAAAATGAAAAACAAAATACATCCTTAACTTGCCGCTCTCTCCACATACTGTGGTCTTCTATTTTGTGTGTTGAAAAATGAAATACGACTAAATAAAGTCGGCTTAAATTCAGTTTTTATGTGCCGTTAACTGTCTGTCTACAATAACAAAATGAATGAAGCAAAATTTGTTGTTCGCCCTGAGAATCACTTGCATTTTGTATTTGTTATTTTTATTTTCTTTTGTTTGTCTTTTTTACTCTCTATAAATATTATAAATGTTCTGCACGCTACTTTACAATAATTGAGTCCGTGCTTGTCAGTTTGCTCGCGCACACATTTATGTGATATACATTTCTGCACATATTCAGCACATATTGAATGTCCAAAAACAATTTCTCTCACATTAAAAAAAAACACGGCTGAAAATGATTAACTACATAACACACTATCTATTCGTTCATTTCGTGAGCAATCGGATTCAGAATACTCTAACAATTACCTATTCGAATTGTGTCTATTTCGTTGCTGTGTTATACTTTTATTTAGGAAAGTTTTTTGTTTGTTTTGCTATTTTATTTGCTATCAATCAGTGGGCAACATTTTATATTGGTTTCGCCGCTGTTATACTGTGTACGAAATAAAATCATCATTCAATGGTCTTTATTCAATAATTACACAGAATTTTCATTTATTGCGATCACTATTTTATCTATTTGCTGTAGAAAGAAATCCAACTAGGGAAATTAAAGTATTCGAAGAATCTTCTTGCAAAAGCGACCATCGAAATGAAATGTCGAAACGGATAGCAACAGCAATATATGTACATGTTAAGAAAACTACTTTAGGAACTTGACTAGAATTTTTAGTTTTCAACAAAATCAATTTTCAGTTTTACACACAATTTTCCATTCCTCACATATCGATACTGCTATTTCAATGGCGATCCAGAAGCCAGATTATCCGGATTTATTCGGGTTTGACAGGATCCTGGACGAAAAATGGTCTCTCGAAAATCTCGGATTTTAATATTTGTCGATTTTTTATCTTTTCCTTCGTCGATCTTCGTAGAAGTAAATTAGAAGAAAAATTAATCTGGCATCCGTACGATTCACCAAATAAAGACGAATTTAAAGATCTACTAAAGGAAAATGCTTTGTCACAATTCTTCCTGTAACCAAAAAAAGTAGGAAAAAAAGAAGCACCAGAAAGAGAAAAAAAAACATATATTCAATGATAAGAAGCAACGATTACAAAAAGATATATCCACAAAAATAATAATAAACTAAATTACCTTGATGACAAAATTTTCGGTAAAGCGAGCAAAATAAGTTTGAAATAAATTAATTGGAAATTTCAATCGAAGAATTCCGAATATGAACATAATAAATAAGCAGGCTTACTATAATTCCCAAGATACCCTCTTCACAGATTACAATTGTGATAAAAAATTGATTAATTTTGAGAAAAAAAAAATTCAAACCGGAATAATATGTAAAATGTTTCTTGAATTTTTCTATTCGTAACGTTTGAGAACAAATCTTCAACTATAGAATGGTTTTTTTACTGACAAAAGAAAATCCTGCAAAAAATAATGGGAATGTCAATGGAATTTCCAAAAATCATTGAAAAAAAAGAAGATTTTTTAAGATCCGGATGTGATAGGAGCGAAATTAAAGATACCGAAAAAGGAAACAGAAATTATGCAAAATAAATATTAATAAATAATAAAGATTTTTTTTTTGTTCTCTTTTTCTCAAATTGAAAAAAATTTGTTTTTGTTTTTAATTATTTACAATAAACATACATGCTTGTTTATCAATTTTGTTATCATATCTGTTTGTAAAATGTGTACATATTACAAAAAAATGTATTTTTTTTATTTAAATATAAAATAAAATGTTTTTATGTGAATGAAAAAAAAAGAAAAAAAAATACATAATGTAAATAATTTATTTTAAAGAAATAATACGGAAAATTTGCGAACATAAACAGAATCGTTTTGCCCTGATCGCAGATTACATATGGAGGAAATTACATACGATTTTATGTGTGTGTATTTTATTCTATATTAAATAGGGAAATCAGGAGATATCTATATAGATGAAGGAACTAGCAAAAAACGAATAAAGGCGGAGATTTGAAAGAGCATGTAAACCGAGTCCACTGTCAATACAATAATGAATGTGACTTTAGTAAAATTGACGGTGGTGAGTTCACTCGTTCTTTGTTGTTGTTGTTCTTCTCTTTTTTTTTTGCAGGAAAGATCAATATTACATATAATAATAAAATGTCTTCTAATATGACTTAAACTAACATCATTTCTCCGCATTTTATAATATTGTTTTGCTGATAATTTCATTATTTGTTATTGTTGTTTGCATTACATATTTTAATAATAATCAATGGCAACATTAAGCATTGAACTTAACAGTTTTATTTTAATATTTCACTTTGATTCTTATTTACTTCATATGTTTTTTTTTTTTTTTTTTTTTTTTTTTCAAAAATTGTATTGCATTTTGTATTCATTTTGATGTTCGCGAACTAAACATTGACGAACCGTTAATGTTACAATCAAACGAGAAAAACAAACAGAAACTTTTTGTAAATAATAATTCGATGATGATAGCTGTGTGTACGTGTGTGTAGACAAAATGGCTATAAATGTGTTCAATATTAAATTATTATCTAATTGAGATATTAATTTCATGGATTATTGTTCCTTTTTTTAGTATGTAGTAAATTGATGGCATAGAGTCAACAGTTTGAGATTTAAGTTGAAACGAACAAATCGCAAAGGCGAATAGAGTTAGAATCTGGGTTTATTATATTTTTTTTTTCTAAGAGTTTTAAATATGGATATTAATTGATTAACGAATAACATTTCACATCTGAATCACATTTACTGTGACTGTGTGTGAATTGAACATATTTCGCTGAGAAACGTTCGAAATGGCAAAGTGGAATTGACGTTCTTTATTTTCTATTTAAAAAAAATTTGTCAATACCGGCATATTGAGTGAGGCTCTGTATTTCTTCTTCTGAGTGTGAAACTAATCTCTTTGCACTCATGTAAAATGATAATGGTGATAAAACATGTGAATGTGTTGGGATTCACTGCTCTAACGAATCATTTTTTTTTTAAATTGTCAATGAAATGAGTGCAATTTCTTTCATTTTCTTTTATCATAAATTTGTTAACATTTTCTTCAGATAAATATAGAAATAGAGAGTTGTCAATAGTGTAATTTAACATATTTTACGGCAAAATTCAGCAATCATCGTGTATGTATTGTTTGCTATGAATATACTTTCGACGTACTTTCAAATTTATTATCTATGTATTCCTGACGCTCTTTTTCTGCTTTGTTGTAATATTGATAAATTCATTTGAAAATTAAAATTACCACTGAAAATCAGTTCAGTTTACAAATAATTAATAATCAACAATGAAAGAAATGAGATTTAAAAAATAGACATTTGTGTAGTAGGATAGATGAAAAGGCCAGAGAAAGAGTCGAAGTTGCGCGCCACTTTTGCAATACCATTTATATTTTTAAACTGTAAAAGAGAAAGAAATGCATTAGATTCAATCAATAAATTTGAACCATAAAGTAATCCATGAATTGAAATGCAGTATACCTTAAAAAATCTATCGATATGTTATTATTTGTCGCTCACGTTGACAGTATTGTGGTATTATTTGTGGCGGAGTCAATATCTGTGAATGTTGGTGTGTGTATGTGTTTGTCCAAGATGCTACTGTTGATGTTGCTGTTGCCGCTATTTCAATGGCACTGTTCCGTTGATTTGAGCTTCAGCGTCCTCTGCATACTTTGGCACACATATAAATAAACAAAAGATTTGTTAACAAAACATCTTGCACCATTGTCTTAAGTCATTCATTCAATTTTCATTTTGAAATGTTTACCTTTGTACCATTTCAGTCAATTATTTTGTAGGCCAGGAATATATCCACATCTTTTGCTCATTGCCATTCTCTCTTCCTTTCTCTCTATCTCTCTCTCTCTCTCTCTCTCTCTCTCTCTCGCCACTGCACACACACACTTACAGATATATATTGTCTTGTGTTTGCCATGTAGTTTGATTACATTTACATTTTCGTGTTGATGAAAATGGATTGTTTTGTTTGCGTGAACAAGATGCAGCAGCAAGCTCTGGTCTATGGGCATCGTCATTTTATTCGTATGGTTTTGTTTAGTGTACATTCAACGTTTCAATACAAGCCATCTTGAAATACTATTATTTGTTTGTTGTTGCTAAAGTTTTTGTTTTATTTTATTACCAAATAAAATAAATAAATAAACAAATGACGATGTATTTTGTGATTATTTGCTTCGATTTTTTCCATATTTCTCCATAGCTAAACAACCGAATTAAACCACTCATTAATTAATGGATGACAACATCAACAAGAGGCCGTAAAAACTCGAATGATAAACATACGCACCATAATTAAGTGCATATTATTTTTTTTTCTGCATAATTTTGTTGAAGTATCGAAATATAGTATATTAATTCATTTAAATAACCATCGATCATATTGTTGGTTATTTTTGAACGAATACTGACAACATATCTCGATCAACGAAATCATAAAATAACAAAAAAAAATGCTCTCATCATTGGACATTCTTATTGCCAATAGTTGGTAGAATGGTAAGCATACAATAGCGAGCGTTCACAACAATCCAACATGAAAAGTATACATATATACGAAATGTAGGACATTTTTCTTGCATCATTCCGGGGGATAAAAAAGAGCATATGGAATACATATACAATTTGTTTCACAATTTTTCTTCTTCTACTATAATTCTTTTTAGCTTTGTGTCTCTTTTAACTCGATGTTGATATCATTTTTTTTGTTTTCTTTTTAATATTCATTTACTAGAACAAAAGAAAATTAGAAATTGTTGCTGTGTGTAGCCGAATTATATTTAAGGTTAATGTTCGTCTCTGACAAGGATTCAGTGGACGTTTTTTTTTTTAAATAATGTTAAATTTAAATCTTCTTTTTTTTGTTATTTTTGTGTCTTTCGTTTTCATTAACTTTGAAATATACAAGTGAGCTAACATTAAGTTTCGCATGGTTTTTGTTATGTCTTCAATTAGCATCACATTTACATCTAATGTTTTATATGTTTGTTTGTTTTTCATTTTTTGTGTCTCACAACGTGTTGGTGATATTATTGTATGCATGAAGAGTGTTTTATTATAGCATTTACGATTCGATCCATTTTAAATTTTATAAGTTTTAACGATTGTTTTTTATTTGTAGTCGGCCAACTATGCGATGTGAGATTTGATTTGTGTGTCTTATTCTCTTATCTCATCTCTAATGTCAATTTATTATTGTTGGGGGAGGACAGGTGGAGGGGTTTAATTGTGGTGGTGTTGAAGTGTTGTTTGCATGTGTATGCGTGTGTAATATGTATGTGTGTGTTGTTGTTGTTGTTAGTTTGATGTTAACATGTTTGGTTTTAATTATTTACTGCGCCTGCGGATCGCATTGCAATAATCGAACAATAGATGGATCGCTTTTTGCGCCTTCGATAAACTCTTCCAAACTGAGTTTTCCATCCTTATTCCGATCCATTTGTCGGAATATTTTGTCTGTACGCTTTTCGGGTGTGCTCTCATCTTCCGGCATCTTCATCACTGAACCAACCATTTTGTAAATAGCCTATGTTTGCACGCAAATAAAACGGAACACATATTAATAAAAGGTAAAACGCAACGAAATATTTTCAATTATCAATTTTTCGACTTACAGTTACAATTTCTAGCATCTCTTGTCGCGAAATATAGCCATTGCCATCTAAATCGTACATTGAAAAGGCCCATTTAAGTTTTTGTTCCAATTTACCTCTAGATGTCACACTGAGCGCACACAAAAACTCTCGAAAATCAATGGTACCATCACCATTTGCGTCAAACGTTCGAAAAACGTGCTCGGCAAACTGGAATTTTTTTTAAATCATGGTTGTGTCAATAAGTATGTATAAATATTGTATATGCAATAAAATTTGATTTAAAAAAAATCGATTAGTTACCTTGCTGGCATCACCGTATGGAAAAAAGTTACCGTAAATCTTTTTGAATTCCTCTACTGACAGATGTCCACTTGGACAGTCTTTTAGGAAGCCTTTATACCATTCTTGAATTTCGGCATCTGTTAATCAAATATTCATGTACAATTGATTTTTTTTTCAGTTTATTTTATAAATTTAAAATGATTTCATACACAGACACACACAATGACAGTATACATACCGGTGAATTCGGTGTTTTGTTTCAAATCCTCTAGGACTTCTGGCTTGAGTTTACTGTTTTGCTTTCCCATTTTGAGTTTGTTTTGTTGTGGTGGTAGTGGCGATGTGTCGATGACGATGAATTCTAGGCTAAGTTTAAATAATCAGATTTCTCTTAAATCGCACTTCTAAAAAATATATCGATCGAAGCTTTGCGTAAGCTTATTTGTTTGTTGTAGATCAATTCCTTGAATTCAATTTAATTGGATCGCGGAGATTTCTCGCTCTTTTTCCGTTGCATGTACTGCTAAAAATGAGCAAAACTATGGAAACACACGTACAAAGAGAAGAGCAAATGAAAATAATAAAATTGAATTAAATTCGCCGATTGACAGTGTGTAGCTTTGAAATGAAATTAAAATATGTTCAATTACATATGCTTTATATATAAATAAAATTCAATTTAATTGATTTTTAGTGGTAAAATCGCTGGCGGAATTTGGTTTTAGTTATTCACATCAATCAAGGTTGTATCTTTTTCAAAGGCAGAAAAAAGCGTGTTTTTTTAGTTTTGATTAGACTTCGTATTGATTGCGTTGTTGTTACGTCGTCATTCGATGATTAAAGTTTGCTTTTCTGCTAAATATTTGTTAATTCCTGAAATAAAATAGAAATCAAACAATTATAAGATAAATAAAGTCGAAACTGAGAGGAAATTGAGAGAAAAAAATCGCTGCAAAACGGAAGAACATCAAAAGCTTTGGTAAACATTTGCAAAGGCGTCAACAAATACATTAACATAAAATAAGCGAAAAGTCAGAGTTGAATTTGTGTGTATTTCTTGTGTGTTGATTGTTATGATTGAATTCATCGTTTTTATTTAAATTTAATTTCATTCATATTATTAAGTATCATAATGTTTTATATTAGTTTATTTTTCATTTTCTTTAAATTTGTAGGCTTTTCCATAATCCTATTTTGCTTTTTTTAAATAAATCATCTTCACAATTTTCATATTTATGTGTATGTGTTACATTTCTTAATTGTTGCACTTATGTCGCTAAGTTCTACTGTTTTTTTTTTTTTTTTTTTTTGCGTGGATGGGGTCGTGACGTAACCGGGTGGAATATATTTTATCGGCCCAGTAAAGGTTGAATGGAATGAATTTGATTTGTCTGTGGTATATGAGTACGTGCTCATTGTATTGAACACGAAATGTGGTTGATTTAGATTTTTGTTAATTTCCTATTGTCGAACAGTTAGTATTAGTATGTGAATGCATTCATGCACAAAAGCAGTTATATTTTATTTCGGCAATAAAAATCGACAACATTTAGATTTATAACTGTAATTAAGTGTGTGATTTCTGTTTCCTCTCTCTCTTTTTTTTCTTCTCGCTTTCTTATCAGATTCATTCAACACAAGCATATGTAGTGTCGTACATTTAAAACTTATTTCCAAACATTGAGATTATTTATGTTGCATGGTTATTTGTTTTGTTTTCTGCAATCGTACTACGCGAAAAAGAAATGTATCGTCTTTAGTGTTTTCGTTAATATATTTTCTTCTTAACATTTATTTGTTCATTTATCATTGTTTGTTTTTTTCTTTCATCCATATTTTTTGTTCATCATCATCATCTTTTTTCTGCACTTTTCGTTCGTAACATTTACAAAAGCAAAATCCAAATGGCATCGTAATCGTTTCTAATCAATGAAAGAAAAGTACGGTTAAATCAAATTGCTCATTTGATTTATTGGTATGTTTTTATCGCTCAACTCACATTTGCATTGTATAAATGCATGTACGATTTTTGTGGTGTGTTTGCTTTGCTTGTCAAACCATGCTCTTTTTTCGCTCGGAAACAAAATTTATCAAAATGTTAAACATGCATTTTGTGACATTTCCTCAACACACGTTCGCGTTTATGAACGAGTAAAAAATAGCTGGAGTTTTTGTTGTGCAAGCAACTGGTAAAATCAATTTCCGACTGTTGATCTTGTGTATCGAATGAACATAGTTAAATCAATTACTAAAACGCACACTTGCAGAAAAGTGCCTGTTCGGTTTTTTTATGTGTGTGTGTGTGTTTCATGGGCAACATTTTGATTATATTGTAAATATATATTCGACATCGTCGTGCAGATGTTTTGCTTTCGATTTCCATATTCGTCGACGGATAGGCAAATAACTTTCGATGTAGTTTAATTTGCAATGTTTATATTTATTTTCCATTTTTTTTCGATTTGTATTTGTGAGTTATTATAATAAATGTTTTTTGTTTTGTTTAATGCTCTCTGTCGCATGCACACACACTCGATCAATAATCGATTTCCCATAATGAACAATTCATTTAATTTAATTTTCAATTAAAACGCTCATTAAGCAGTTCGATTGATGGGTGCCTTACCAAAAAGAAATCGATTATCGGGCTCACACATTTTATGTGTGAAAGCATGAACAAACGAATGCATTTTTAATTAAGTGTAAATATTATTTTGCATTTGGATTCGTTACTCTTGTTTTTACATCAATTTTTGATGATGCACATGTGCATTTGATTTTATTTCGGTTTCTTTGTTCAATTTTCAAATCTATTCTCACATTTTAATCGCTTTTAATTTATTTGCGTCGAATTTAATTCGGAATAATTTTCAGTTTGATTGCCGTACATCATTTCATTTCATGTCATAAGAATGTCGATGATAGTGTGCCGCATTCAAAAAAGAACACGCTTTCCAAGCATTTCTCAATGATGTTTAAACTGCTTAATTTAAATATGTTCACGTGAAATGGAGCTTCAAACACCTCTCACATTTAAATACTACATATTTATATTTATTTATTATGATACAGACACGAATATTTACTATGATTTATTTTTCCATCCATTCTTCCTTAGTTTGGTTTGTATTTCAGTTGATTGATCAATCTCGTTTTAAAACGAGTGTCATAAACATGAAAAGCACAAACATCAAATGATAAAAACCGAACCGAACTGAATCACTGTCACATCCATTAGACGGTATGACAGCTGACTCAGTTTGGTTGCTTTTTGGTGTGTGAAAAATAAAACGGACGAATTAAATGACAAAAAAAATGGATTTTTGTAAAATTTTATTGAAATTTCTGATATCTTTGCATAACGACACACCAAAAATATCCAAACTGTCGATTCGCTTCAAGCGAAACATAATAAAATATTCATTAAATTTGTAGTGCACGCTTAAAAATACCACTGTAAAGTGCTCATCAATGCATGACGGCTGGGATAGATAGTAAAGGCATCATATCAATGAAATTTACAAAAATCGATTAAGTTTGTTTGAATTTAGATTTTTTTTTCATCATAAGAAATAGTTTTAAAAAGTGTGCAAATCGACAATTATTTTATGTATTTGTGGTTAAGACTCTACTTTGATTGAGAAAATTGCAGCTCTATTCACAGTTCAGCAAAGTTGAAAACAAAATAAAAACCTAGCGACACCATTGAAAATTAATGAAAACAAAAAGCACATTGTTCAATACAACGTTGCTAATGGTATAATTGAAACTTCATAAAGATTCTAGAGCTTTTCAGGATGGTCTCGAATAACTTTCGATAGGTGCCTCTACGTTTTTTCGTCTTGCTACGCGTGCAGTGCTTCTGATAAGAAAACCATTTTCCAAAAGTGATGCCATTGTATTTGTGTACATTAATCATTCTAAAATGTTGAAAATTATTCATTCGGCAGATATTCAGCGTCGAAATTACCGATTCAGTCGATTTGCTGAAATGTGGAAAATTGAAATCTGATAGAAAATCATCTTTCCGAACTGAATTTTGCAAAATAAATATTATGAACCCACATTTTTGGAGTAGATCACTTGCATCTAACGGTGTTTCGTTTGTTTTCTTTACACTGCAACAACATAGTACCCTGTAAAATTGTTCAACGTGCTACTGAATCGAACGAAAATCTATTTTTGCGTCGTTATGGAACCGAACATTTTGGGCCAAAGTCGAGATGAGTCTTGTAAAAACGATTTGGTTTTGTTTGTGATTTATTTCACGTGTTTATTTTATATATCATTGGTAAGATAGAATCTTGCTCGTATCGTTAAAAAATATTTTCAATTTGGCGGCGATTTGTTCGAATCACAATATCATGACGATATCGCACTTTTGAGAAGAGTGCTTGACGCGAGGTGAATGAATCGTTTTTTATTGTTGTTACTTTTAATTGAATTTAACGAGAGCATAAAAGAGCCAAATGCTATTCGTTGTGTATCTCGCATGTAGAATGCTGAATATATACGACTATAAAAGTCAGAGGTGTTGGATTGAACTCGTCGCTTTTCGAAAAGCATTCTATGTCGCTGTCTCTTTTGCTCGTATACATTCAAAAAAAAAAAAAAAAAAATTGGTGTGTAGATTTGCTTTATTTCGTTTGAACGTTAAACATTGGCCACGTTGGTTTGACGAAAAGTTCAGCGTCGATGGATTTATTCAACCTCCACCTATTCCATTTCATTCGATTGCACTAGCATACAGGGTATACATACACGCGAACGCTTTACCTCAAACTCTCATTCGCATTCCTAACATACTTCGGATGTGTTTGATTAAAGTAATTAAAATTCTCTATCCGCAAAAAGAGCAAAAACATGCACAAAACGATACCTCAACTAAAAGTAAACGATGAGCTTGTACACGCGTTTATGCGCGCATAATTTCTTATGCGATTTACTCTTCTTAATCTCGAGTTTCCACTTTAAGAGTGAATCAACAATGCTTTTTTTCCATTGTGTTTTTTATAACTCAAATTTTTTTTGCTGTTTTATCGGTATTTTTTCTGCATTGCAATCGTTTCGAATTTTCTTTCATTCCAATGAAAAATCAATTCACTCTGAAAATGACATGAATGCTCTTATACACGTGCAAAAGTGGAAATTGTGTAGAATTTTATATTTGTATACATATATATTTCTGGGTAAATTTCTGGTTTAATCAATGCCCGAGCTTCGGCTGTTGGGCGAATAGTGATAAAATCAAACGATTCAATTTGTCTAAAAACAAATATCTCTATTCTAGTGCAAACAAAACGAAGCACGAATATAAGATCTAGTACAATCAATTGAACGTTGAACCGGTGCTCATTTGAACCGAACACACACATTATTGTTATTATTATTTTGTTGTTATTTTTGCTGAATTTTCAAGTAGTGTGATTCACGTCAAATATCTACAAAAAACGGTTTTTTTTTCTTCGACTTGCCCATTTACAGCCTCTATATATTATTAACATTGAGATTTGGTGGAAAATAGAAACACGTGACTTGTGCATTTTGTGAATAGGGATCGGATTCTTGTACTAAGCACTACAATACAGTTACATTATCTACATAAAATTCGTGGAAAAAGTTACAAGTTTGACAACGATTTTACAGAGCTTTGAACGAAAGAAAAAGACACCAACCGATGGTCTATATCTTATTCCAATGTCGAATTTTGTCGGAATTGTGATACTCGCAGCGCTATCCATAAATAGACAGCATGAAAGTATTTTGCACATCTTTAAAAACACAAGCAACGAACTTTCATGCTTTTTAGTTAATGCACAATTCATGTGCATACAATTTATCTACATGTATTGACGATGTCAATATTTCAACGG